CTAACACATGGGACTGGTAAAGCTTGTAAACAAAAAAATAAGTAAGCTCTCACTTGATTATGTCAGATGTGATAATCTCGAAAATATGAGCATACGCCAGCTCAAATGGAAGTTGGAGGCAGATAATGCTCATGATAACTAGAACATCATTCCTAAACCTCTTGCGATAAGCAAACCATTCATATCTTTGATATGCTTCCTTCTCTTTGGATCTCTCATTTCCGAGATTCTTAATAAGCTCCTTTGGAAATGGAAGGGAACTCCATTCCATTCCGAGAAATCTATATCCTTGGCTGGGGCCAACTAAACAATTAATTTGCCATCTATTGATAGAGAATTGACACAAAACATGAAATCAGAAAATGGAAAACAAATCTTAATATGTTGCATAATTATGCACCAGTGTAGGGGAATCCTACCTAGCTAACAAGGCCGCGTTTTTACGTTTCCAGAATTGAAGAAACAAGGCAGCCCAGAGTATTGTGCTCACAAAGAAAATTGGGAGAGCAAGAAACTGCAAGGATCTGACCAAAAGAAACATTGAAAACAAGGCATGATGGATGTGCCGGCATGTCTATTAGTATTAACTTAAGACATTGTAACAGAATTAGGAACTTACCCAAAATCAACCATCTGCACTATAAACCCAAGTAAGGCTGGAAATATCAACCATTGCGTATACATTCCCAAGAACGAAAAGTAGACTCCAATCTGTGATTTTTCTACGTTAAGAGTTTCATACCAACAGCTTTCTGCTACATATAGCATATTAAGATTTATAAGTGTCTACCTTTGCACCGAAGTAAGAGTAGATCTGATCAATTGGTTGGTTTGTGAAGTTCCACCAATTTAATGCCCAAGTTTGGAGAAGTTCCTTCCTCTTGAATTCATCTACAAACAGAGTAGCTTACCATGAATTCATCTAGAGTCTAAACTGCTTTTAACCCAACAGACATAACAGAGTAGCTTACCATGAAGAGGAAACATTTGTTTAATGACGCCCTCTGATTCCAACCTTCGAAGTAATGATTCCCCTGCTACCCAACAAAACACTCTGCCGTTAAGTTTCAGAGTGACATCGTATCCACCACAGTTTACCTGTAACTCAAGAGTTCATTTGCTATGTCATAAATCAAGAACACTGTAAACTGACTCACTAAAGCAATAGAAAACAATAGTTAAATCTGCAATAAATAATAACCATAAAAGACATGATTTGGAGATATGGAACTTACAATTCCGTAAATAAGATGTTGATAGCACCGAAAACGTTCAAACCAGCTGAACAGTAACCCATCAGGTTGCCGAATGAAAGCCTCAGACCCTTGCATCTCAAAGGGCAGATCAATTCCTGAAGCGAGAGATAACCATCAAACTTGTGACAAACACAAATGAGGAAATATCTGCGATACCACTTAAGAAGATGTTCATTTATCAACTTAAGGCTACGAGGAAACAGTATTTACCGAGACGAGTAGGTTTGCGTATATGAAGCTCTGCTGCTGCATTGCCCAAGGTCTCCAAAGGAGCTGCTACCTGAAGAAATACTTGAATTGCAGTTATCTCAAACATCAGTCTCATAGTAGCAAAACACTCTTCAAAGTATTTGATAGATTTACAGCTAAATAAGGAAAGAAACTTCACTAGATACTTTGTTTAAAGTCACCAATCTGTTGAATCCTAGACATAATTTAGCAAGTTTTATCAAACAAAACTCATTTCTACAAAAATTCACACCTCCAGGGACACACACTCCTTGAATTTCAGATCAGTAGTTTTGTATGACAAATGCAAGACTTTCGCACCTAAAAACCCTGATTGCTCACAAAATTACTAATAAATTGGTCAAAGAAAGACCGACCTTGAGAAACTCATCTGCGAGACCGACGACTCTATCAACAACCATCCCTCTCTTCTTTAGTTCAGTCACCAAAAACTCAACACAGTTTCCTTCTTCTTCCAGAACCCTCTTAGGAACCACCATTGCAACCTCGTGAACAACTCGCTCCTCCCCATTACTCCCATTCATTTCCAAACACCGACTCACACAAGAAAAATTTGAGATTTCTTGTATCTGCTTCCCGAAACTTCGCTCAGTAGCTGAAAGCTTCTAACTTTCCCCTCTTTCTTCTAAGATCTGACTCAAAGGTTCCACCTTTATTCACTTTTTTTTTCTCTGAACTACTTTTCCTCCCCTGTAATTAATCTAATTTTCCGGTTTCTGGGCCACAAAAGGGGATCAGGGTTTTAAAGTCGGAACACTGCAACAATCAAGAATACGATTCCAACATTCCTTTAAAAAAAAATCGAATTTTTACTACGTATCTCTCGTTATCTCTCACGAATTTGAATCTTGCGTTAATTCAGAAAACGTTTCTGGAGAATGGAAGAGACAAGACAAAGCCTTCGGGGTTTGAATTTGAAAATTAGATTGAAGTTTGGGAAAAAAACTACTACATGCAAAAAGATCCAAAACAATTTTACTTCTAGTATGAGTTGGCACGCAGATGATGAGTGATCCATCGTGTAAAAAAGAGTGACACATCGGACGGTGCTGACAAGCGTGCCTCGTGTGTGTGACTGTTTATTATCACAATTCACAAGGATAGAGCCTAAACCGGGTAATGACCGACATTTATACTAAACCGGTCAATTCCGATTTGAATTTTGAAAACCAAAGTTGACTTTATAAGCTTCCTCCCTCATATCTATATATACATTTTTGGATGACTTTTAGCAAATAAATCCTGGAGTTGAAATGTATTTACGGATGAATGCCATTGGCATTAATTATTTAAATTTGAAAAATATTAATTAAAGATATTACCAACACGATTTCGAGAATCATAAATTCATATCTTCCTTAATTTTCTGAGTCATTAATGTGATAATCTTTAGGAAATATTTCTCTGTAAAAAAAAAAAATCCACATTAATGAAGGCATTAAAATCGACACTAACAATTAAATTATTTAGATATTCAATTATTTTAAGATTCTTATATCTTATTTGATATTTTTTTTTTTATATCTCATTCTTTAATTACTGCGTTTAGAATTTATTGGTTGTTACCTATTTTTTGGTGAAATTTATTGGTTGTTACTTAATAAGTAATTATGGTGCGTTTATTTTAGTTAATATCTAATTTAAAGGATTTGTTTTCTTTTATTATTAATAAACGAATAACATGTATAGAAATAAAAGATTTTTCTTGCGACTCCATAATAAAAATATTAAACTCTTATTTTCTACATTTCTTACACATAATATCCTCTTATTCAATAACAAAAAATATATATTGCATATTTTTAAAAATATTTATAATATTTAAAATATATAAAAAGTTTGTAATATTAATATTATTTCAACTCTATACAAATTTAATTTATATGTATATATATCTTATGGGAACCATTTAAAAGAAATTTTTAAATTGACTTGAATTATATAGCTTTTAAATAAAAGTATTATTAAAAAGAAAAATAACTAAATGATGTTTAATTTCACAGGACGGGTAATATGATGGGACGGGTTTGGGTTGATATTTATAAAATATAGTATACCACGGGTGAAATCTTAAAATTAATAATCAAAATAATCTATCAAACAAATTACATTTTGATTTTTTTAAGAAAATATAGCCCCGCGGTGTACCGCGGGTTAAAATCTAGTCCTCTTCAATCTCTAACGCGTCGAGATATTTTCCTAAATACAGAGAAAACCCTAAAGTCTCTGTTTTTGCGAATTTTCTCTACAGATAGATCGAAGCTAATTGTTCCGGAGGGAGATCTAGAGGAATCGATTCAACATGGGTAACACAGATAAGCTGATGAATCAGATATTCGATTTGAAATTCACGTCCAAGTCTCTGCAAAGGCAATCAAGGAAGTGTGAGAAGGAAGAGAAAGCAGAGAAATTGAAGGTGAAGAAGGCGATCGAGAAGGGGAACATGGATGGTGCTCGGATCTACGCTGAGAACGCCATTCGTAAGCGTAGCGAGCAGATGAACTACCTCCGTCTCGCTTCTCGCCTGGACGCTGTTGTTGCTCGTCTTGATACTCAGGCTAAGATGACCACCATCACCAAATCCATGACCAATATCGTCAAGTCCCTTGAGTCTTCGCTTGCCACAGGTATTTCATCGGCTTTGAATTATCCGAAATTATCTTCCTATGCTGCTCATAGGTTTAGTATATTGTATGTCTTTTTGCTCTCGGTGGTTGTGTTACTGATCATTAAGTAAGGCTTAATTCTGTGAAATTGAGGTTGGATATGTATGACCACCATGGTTTATGGCGTATTAGTTAAGAGTTAAGATAATTTAAGGTAATGTAAACTTGAAGGATGCTTCTGAATATAGATCAGGAAGGTTTTGTGTATATGAAATACATGAAAGGTTTTATCTTTTTGTTCTTTCTGTGATACAATCCTTTAGTCTCAGTTGAGCACTAGTTTTTGATTCATTGTGTTGTAACAATTTTGGTTCTTATCTGTTTTCTGTTTCTTGTCACCAGGGAATCTACAGAAGATGTCAGAGACAATGGATTCATTCGAGAAGCAGTTTGTGAACATGGAGGTCCAAGCTGAGTTCATGGAGAATGCTATGGCTGGTTCAACTTCATTGTCCACTCCAGAAGGCGAAGTCAACAGCCTTATGCAGCAGGTTGCAGATGACTATGGTTTGGAAGTCTCTGTGGGACTTCCTCAGCCTGCTGGTCATGCCATTCCTACTAAGACAGAGGAGAAAGTTGATGAGGACGATTTGTCAAGGAGGCTTGCAGAGCTTAAAGCCAGAGGATAAGTGCGCTAACCTACATCCGTGCTTGGACTACCTGCCACTTTGCACGCGATCCTTATCGAATTGTTGCTTCTATTTTCTGCAAACATGGGCGTATTTATGTATATTGCTCACTTTGAAATATGCTTTGTTTATAACTTTATATAAAAAACCTTCGTGTGGTTTTAGTTTTTACCATTTTAATGATATGCTTTCCTTTTGAGTTGTGCATTAAAGAGTGTTTTGCTCAGTCGCTTTTGGTCTCATGGACTAAGATACACGGGAGATACACCCAACATCCTTATTCGGAGAGTCTAGTGTTATATTTCATGCTGATTATTCTTTTGTGCAAAACCCTTTATCATGCTACAATCCTTGTGAGCCAGTGAATCTTCTTTAGAAGCTTGTTGATCATCTTGGTTGATTTAGGGCGTGATAGATGGAAGCCGATGGAGTCAAGGTACCAGCCACTCCTACTGCTCATGCCAACAATGCGTCCCCCATTGACTGAGAAAGTGAAGGGTGTTCCCTGTTCAACTCCATAAGGTCCATATACCTGTTTATTGCTCTTGAAGGTCATTGATCTGATTACAGGAGTGCCACTGTCAACCACTATAGAGTAGTAGCCACTCACGCCAGTCAGATACTCATCTGGATATTGCAGCTTTAGCTGCAGAAACTCAGTTCATGTTAAAGAAACCAAAATCTGAGGGAGGAAGTTAAAGAGAGACAGAATCCAGAGTAAGAGAGGATCATACCTCTGCTGTTTTGTTGCCTCCTACACCTCCATGCTTCTCTGATTTCGCGGGTTTACCATTCTTATCGTAGATCACCGAGATGGAGTCAATGCAATGATCATATACAAGTCTGATCTCACGGACACCATGATAGATCCCATCATCCCAAGTGGTTCCTCCATTTCTTCCCCAGGGTCCTACGAACACAGTCAGATTCTTATCACCTTGTTGTTGTTGATCCATGAGTCCGTCCTGCTGTTTGATTGACAGTTTGTGACGATGCAAGGGAAGATGCTAAGAAACCAAAGTTTTACTAGAAAGAATAAGCTGCTAATTAATCTGATACCATCTATGCAGAACCAAACTAGTTATTTGCTGCAGTAGAGGCTTTTTGGAATTGAAACAGGTTGCAGATTGATACGAAACAAGAATTGAGTGTTTAGAAAGAACGCATATAAAAAGACGTCCAAGCTTCATGAGAAAGGTATTGGATTCCAGGACAGCAATGTAAGAGGACGATATATATGTGTTTGATTGTCTTATCTTTCTTTACAGAAAGAAAAAAGAACTAGGAGATTCCAGAAAACTTCAAGAAGAAACATTTAACATGGAACAAATTCCAAAAGTGTTCATCATAGTGCCAAAAACAAGTTGAGAGGAATATTATTTTACCTCCTGTTTTCACATTACCAAGATTTTAAAACTTGCTCTAGTATGTATTCTATGCAATATGAACATGTCCTTTGCTTTCTGACACAGGAAGGTTTGAATTTTTTTACCATAATGGTTACTCTGAAGTAAGATCAAGCCATTTATCATTATATCTCATTCCTGTTTTTTACATGACTATTGACGAACTCCTATACTCTGCTATTACATGAATAAACCGAGGGGTCCAATGATAGAAAGAACAAATGAACAAACTAACTGTAGAAGCATCTGATAGAAGAAAGCTGCAGGTGAACGTAGCAGCAAAAGAATCAGCAAACTAATCCAGAAAATGCGAAAGTGCCCATCTCGGGAATCATTTCTATCTCATTCTCTCTCTCAGCATCTTCAGCCCCATGTACCTGCAATTATGGTCAAGGAAATTTGTTTTTAAGTCTGATCAAAAAGGACACACAGTTCCAAAGAGTATACACTTTGATAGTTTTTTCTTACCTTCCAAGCATCATCAAGGTAGCCTGAGGATTAGTCCCTGGAGAGATATTGAAGGTTGATCCATCCACGAGTCTAAGAGAATTAACACCAATGACTTTGAGATCAGAGTCCACTACTTTTCCTACAACAGCGCCTCCATGGTAGTGCCAGATTGTGCTCACAGTTCGTCTGCAGAAATCTGCCATCACTAGATCATTTGATTGGTCCACAGGCAATGGAGCTCCAACAAACCTGAACCTACGGTTCCCAAACCATTCCCTGATCATAAAGTCCTGCATAGCTCGGCTCCTGAGTATTTCTCCAATCTTCCTAGTCCCATTGACACATCTCTCTAGATCCTGTGGATCACTGAAGTAGTTGAACCTAACAATTGGGTTGATCCTTACATCCGTTGACGCCAACCTTAGTAACCCAATAGACACTGGACCTAGGATCTTTTCCATTATAGTTGTCACAGGGACGTACAAAGGAGAAGCTGGCGCTCTGATGAACACAGAATGTAAAGGCGATGCAAACGGAATCACAGTGGAAGCAGCCTCAAGAAAAGCCCCTTCCTCAGTAATACCCACGACTTGTATCAGTGAGTTCTCCATTGGAACCGGAGGTACAATGGAGATACCATTCCTCGGGTTATCATACACAAAATCTCCCACATGAGGCTGGTCAAGAGCCACAGGGATCCCCCAAGTCGAAAGATAACTTCTTGGACCTATCCCACTAAGAAAAAGCAACTGTGGACTACCGAGTGCACCAGCTGACAATATCACCTCTCCTCTGTCCCGTATTATTGCGTGATGGTAACGTCCCAGCTGATCACGGTAAACCACTCCAATCGCAGAGACGTTGGAACCCGAGTCACTTGGAGATGAAGCCAGCAATACTCTCTCTACAGTTGCGTAAACTGCAACTCTAATGTTGGAACTTCTTGCATATCTGAGAAGATCTGCAGAGCTGTGTCTCCTCCCAGTACGATCGAACGTGGAACCTCCAATCTTAGTCCCCACTTTATGCTCCAAGGTGAAGCCATTAAACGGATGGACACCAACTTCAAGCAACGCATCCCTAATTGCAGTCTGCCAAGTCCTGAGCTGGGGTCTAAACACAATCGCTCTCTCCACCCACTCATAAGACTGATTCACACTACTCAGATCCCAAGTAAGACCCGAATTCTCAAAGAACTGTTTATCAGCACGGCTATAGAACCCAGCATTGATTGCGCTGCTTCCTCCAAGAACACGACCTCTGGCGTTAGGAACTCCTTCCTCAGAGATGAAGGACTGAGCCGGCGAGTCAAAATTGTTGACGTCAGTGAGAGTGGACAAGAAACCGTCGTGTGACATCACGTTAGGTCTGTTGTACGGAACGCCGCCGCGTTCTAGCAGAAGAACCCGGAAAGATTGCGAAAGTGTGGCGGCTAATGGACATCCCGCCGTTCCTCCTCCGACGATTATGTAATCGTAGTAATCCTCCGACGCAAAATCAGTTGCGTTCGATACGAATCGCATGAAACCGGGCGCTGCAACGAAGATTCCAACAGTAAGAACAACAGTGAAACAGAAGAATCTCAAAATCAAATTAGGGATTAGCAAAACATCGATCATCGTTTTCTTTTAACTCTCAACGCGATTTCTTGCAATTACTCAGACGCGATACAGAGAAATCAACGAAACCTCATCAAAAACTCCATCGTCGCTAAAGATTACAATGTTTCAAGCATTAACACGAGATTCTACAGAAATTTTCTCGGAAACTTACGTCGATTAACGCGTGGCCTTGCATTAGACCAAGGAACTACTCCAAGAAGAAGAAGCACAACGAACGCCGTGTAGAGAAGAGAAGAATCAATCCGTTTCGTCATTCTCGCTCTTCGATTGAAGATTTTCTCAGAGCTGATGGAAAATTAAATTTTCCCGGGAAAGTGAGAAGTTTCTCAGTTACAGAGAGAAACAGAGAAGAAGAAGTTAAAAAAGAAGAGGACTCAAATCAAATGGCGCTTGGTTTCTGTTATAGAGAGTGTTTCTCAGCTCTCGAACGCTGATGTAAAAGTAATCGCAGCCGTCGATAACATTTAGACCAAGTTGAGATCAACGGTTGTCAAGAGAGTTAATTCTGAGCCGTACCGCAGTGGATAATAGCTCTCCCTATAGTTGACGGCCGTTAGCAACAGTCTCTGACTCTCGGGACGCCTTAACGTCGTCGTCTTGTTGTAACCGTACCGGTTTGATAACTGCCAGTCGAATTCCGGTCCAATCCGGTTAAGATAAGATAACAGGATTTAGCCACGTGTCATGAAGTTGTGCGGATTAGACTGTAGCCAGTGTTATCACTACCGTCTAAAACACAGAGAGAGAGGAGCAAGAATGGCGATGGCGATGTTACCGGCGCTCTTCTCTTCTCCTTCGATTCTAACCAGCAGAATCAGATGCGGAGCCACAGCTAACAGCGGCGGCGCACTCTCATCTACTTCTTCTGACTCCGATCTTAGGAGAGGTGTTCCCTTGTATAAGCCCAAATCATACGAGGTTCTAGCCACTGACGCCGCCAATTCTCTTGCTTTCGCTCTCCAGGATTCAAAATCTCGTTTGGAAATCGATTTTCCGTAATCCCTTTACTCTTACTCTATATCGATTCTCCCAATTTGGTGTGTTTGGGTTCGTAGTTTTAATGGCTTTTTTTCGCTCTTTTTGTTCATGTGTAGACCTTTACCCAGTAGCATTTCTTCTTACAAGGTAATTTATTTTATTTTGTTACCATTGTGACTTAGTTTTTTTAGCGAAGTTTTATAACTGTGTTCGACATGCAAAATTTGTATAGGGTTCGTCAGACGACTTTATTGATGCTAATATACAACTGGCCGTGACTGTTGTCCGCAAACTTCAGGAGAAAATTGAGACAAGAGCTTGCATTGTAATCTATCTCCTTCATTACTCTATATATTACTCATCCTTGTTATTTGGTTCTTCTGACCTATGAATGATCGAACATGCTTCAGGTTTTTCCTGACAAGCCTGAGAAGCACAGGGCTTCTCAACGCTTCAAAGCGGCATTTGATTCGGTAGACTTAGAAATTCCAGTTTGCTGCATTTTTTGCATATGTTAGGAATAACCTTGTAAGATTCTGAATACTTGATGCTTAACAATTTGTGTGTTTCTCATCAGGTTGATGGCATAAGTATTGGTTCTCTAGATGATATACCTGGTAGCTCTGTCACCAATTTCTTCAGGTCCATAAGGAGTATCCTGGACTTTGATTTTGAAGATGAAAATGAAGGTATAGCTAAAACTGTCCTTTTTCACTTGGATTTTTACTTATTTTAACAGATGGATTATTGCATTTATTCATGAGGATTATGTGTTCCTGCAGGAACTTGGGAGCCCAAGGAGCCTCCGACCCTTTATATATTTATCAATTGCAGCACTCGGGAACTCTCTTTCATAGAGAAGTTTGTGGTATTGAATCCTTTTATCTTTTCTTATCGTAACATGGAACTTGGTTTAGATACGTTCACTGTCTATAGTCATTTTTGAATTTTTCTTTGTGCCTTCTATGTCATTCTTAATCTGTAAGTTGTTGGTCTATACTTGCAGGAAACCTTTGCCAGTTCAACCCCAGCTCTTCTGTTCAATCTTGAGCTAGATACTTTGCGGTATTATCACTATTGAGACCTCAATTTTTTGCGTAACTCAATCCCTCTCGGTTTCCTCACTTCTGGTGACAAATGAATTTTAGTGCAGTGCTGACCTAGGGCTTCTTGGCTTCCCTCCTAAAGATCTGCACTACCGGTTTCTTTCTCAATTTATTCCCGTCTTTTATATCCGAACCAGAGAGTATTCAAAGGTACTTTTCAATTAGGATGATATTTTCTCAGCGGACCTTTCCTGGCTGCTTGCATAATTGAAGCAGCATAATAGTTGTTTGTGTTGCTTGGCTAAGACAGTGGCAGTGGCACCATTTGTGTTAAACTACAACGGAGCACTTTTCCGACAATATCCTGGTAAATGCTAGACTATTCTTTACAAAACTAAAACAATATATAGCATACCTGTACCTATTTGTGTTGTGACTTCCTTGATCACTAAACATGATGTGATGCTTGTCTCAGTCTCTCTATCAGATCTGCATAATCATTCTCAATTCCAGTGGCCTGAACTTGGGAGAGTGTTTTCTCTATCTATATCTGATATGGAAAAAAAATGCAGGGCCATGGCAGGTGATGCTTAAGCAAACTGATGGTTCATATGCGTGTGTTGCAGAAAGCCCTACTCGTTTCACGCTGGGTGAAGTATGTGCGCTAAAAGTGTTTAACCTTTTGTATATAGTCCTTTACCCAACCTCTGGAAAAAAAAAGTAACAAGCTTTGATTGATGTGGATGCAAACAGACGAAGGAAGAGCTGTTGCAGGTTCTGGGACTACAAGAAGAGAAAGGAAGCTCACTCGAGTTCCTGCGCAGGGGATACAAGGTTAGCACATTGTCTAGATTGTTTTTGTCTCTTGTATGTGCGCATAGAAGCTTAAACTGGTCCGATTCTGATGGTGTTTCAGTCGGCAACTTGGTGGGAAGAGGATGTGGAGCTTGAGGCATCATCTAATTGGCGTAACTGAACGATGGCCAAGTCATGGATTCACACTTTTGGTATGTTTGTTAAGTCCCTCAAGATCGAGATATTTACACTTGTATATGTGCAAAGTTGGTAGAGAGAGTTTGGGAGATGTTAATGGGAATGATAAAGGATAGTTTGAAAATGATGTCTATATAAACTCAGTCCAATTATGATAGTGTCTGCTCCACCCACTTTAATTCTTTCTTCAACACAATCGCAAACTATGAACAATCTTAGGAAATGACGAAGAAACTATTTTAGGAAGATTTACAATTTAGGTAGAATATCAAAGATCCCCTTAATTTGCTGTATAACGGTCATCTAATTTCCAACTTATCAACTTCTCTTGTTAACAATTTAGGTACTAGAATATCAAAGATGTTCTACCAAAAAAAAAAAAGAATATCAAAGATCTTCTTTCTATTATTGGCGTCAATCAGATTGATTAATATCTGTCAATATCCTTCAAGGCGTCAATCAAGTTCTATTTTGTTTCCCTCTTTCCTCTCTCCTCTTGCCCTTGTCTCTTATGCAAGCTCCATTTGGGCATCTTTCTTGATTTTCAAGTCTCAGATGGAGAATCTTGGGTTGTTCAAAATTCTTTTGCTATTCTGTCTCTTTGTTTCTGGCCGCATAGTCTCTGTTTCTTGTCTAAATTCAGATGGGTTAACTTTGCTCTCGCTTCGGAATTATTTGGACAAAGTACCACCAGAATTAACTTCGACATGGAAGACAAACGCATCTGAAGCCACTCCATGTAACTGGTTTGGTATCATCTGTGATGATTCTAAGAAGGTTACGTCTCTCAACTTCACCGGTTCAGGTGTTTCAGGCCGATTGGGTCCTGAAATAGGGCAGCTCAAAAGCTTAGAGATTTTGGATTTGAGTTCTAACAATTTCTCTGGGATTATACCTTCCAGTTTAGGGAACTGTAGTTCACTGGTGTACATTGATTTGTCTGAAAACAGGTTCTCTGGTAAGATCCCGGATACTCTAGGTAGCTTGAAGAGCTTGGCCGATTTGTATCTTTACAGCAACTTTCTTATAGGGGAGTTGCCTAGATCCTTGTTTCGAATTCCGGCATTGAATTATCTGCATGTGGAGCATAACAACCTGACCGGGTTAATTCCTCAAAATGTTGGTGAGGCTAAGGAACTTCTTGATCTGCGTTTGTTTGACAATCAGTTTTCTGGTACAATCCCTGAGTCTATTGGAAACTGCAGCAAGCTGGAGATTTTGTATTTGCACAAGAACAAGTTAGTTGGTTCATTGCCTGCAAGTCTCAATCTTTTGGAGAATCTCACTGACCTGTTTGTTGCAAATAACAGCCTACGAGGAACAGTTCAGTTTGGTTCAACCAAATGCAGGAATCTGGTAACTTTAGATTTGTCATACAATCAATTCGAAGGCGGTGTCCCTCCTGAACTGGGAAATTGCAGTAGCCTTGACGCTTTAGTCATTGTGAAAAGTAATTTGTCAGGTAAAATCCCTTCATCATTGGGTATGTTAAAGAATCTCACAATTCTTAACCTTTCCGAGAATCGTCTTTCTGGGAGTATCCCCGCGGAGCTCGGGAACTGCAGCAGCTTGAACTTGTTGAAGCTGAACGATAACCAGCTTGAAGGCGGAATACCGAGTGCATTAGGTAAGCTAAGGAAGCTAGAAAGTCTGGAGCTTTTTGAAAACCGGTTTTCGGGTGAGATTCCTATTGAGATATGGAAGATTCAGAGTCTTACGCAGTTGCTAGTTTATCGGAACAATCTCACAGGGAAATTACCGAAGGAAATAACCGAGCTCAAGAATCTCAAGATTGTTACTCTCTTTAACAATAGCTTTTATGGAGTGATACCACCTGGTTTAGGTCTGAACAGCAACCTAGAGATTATTGATTTGATTGGTAACAATCTTACAGGTGAGGTACCGCCAAATCTCTGCCATGGAAAGATGTTGACAGTGTTTAACTTAGGATCTAACCGGCTTCATGGCAAAATACCGACATCTGTTAGTCAGTGCAAGACTCTAAGCAGATTCATTCTCAGAGAAAACAACCTTTCAGGTGTTCTTCCTGAGTTTTCTAAGAATCAAGATCTTTCGTTTCTCGATCTCAATAGCAACAACTTCGAAGGACCAATCCCTCGTACCCTCGGAAGCTGTAGGAATCTCACGACCATCAATCTGTCTAGGAACAAGCTCACGGGGAATATTCCTAGAGAACTTGAGAATCTACAAAACCTTAGTCACCTGAATCTTGGGTTTAACTTATTAAACGGTACGGTTCCTTCAAAGTTTAGTAACTGGAAAGAGTTGACCACTTTGGTTCTCTCCGGAAACCGTTTTTCAGGAGTCGTTCCGCCGGATCGCCACTCTTAGAAAGTAAGAAAACTACTGTTTATCGGAATTTTATCAACAACTAGACAATAATCAGACTTTTCACATTATCCAATGACATCATATCATCAAAATTTTTTACTTTACAACATACTCTCTCTTTTTTTCCTTTGCTTTAATCGTTACAAATCTTTTCACAATTCCTATGGCCGCTTAAAGTACATTTTTAATTGATAACACAAAAGTTTCGGTTGATAAGATCCAAATTCATATACAAAAGGCTGATTTAAAATTCAATAAAATAAAAAACAAAATTCGCTAATGCTACGATGTTACCCACTCGGAAGCTTACCTTTGAAAGTCATAGTTTGAAAGTCAATTTGCTCAGCTCTAGCTTACGTTTAGCTGTTCTTATCAAATACTAACAAAAAGAATGTCAAACACGTATTTTATCGTATTTAAATTTAAATAGTGCACGGTAATAACGTTTGCAAACAATTATTTAATGGTTGGTAATGAAAATTAATGAAGAACCCAAACCTGCCCAACACCACTAATTGACCATTCACCAACCAAAGAGTCCAGTTATTTATTAACGGTTTCTTACTCTCTTTGGCTACCATCTAGACGGATGTAAACGACGTCGTCGTAGAATATTCAAAAGATTCGCATTTCTCACAAAGAGAATTGAAGAAATAGAGACGACTTCTTTCTAGAAACACGTGTGTCTGAAAACGGAAAAAAAGAAGACTGAATGAGAAACGGTGTGCAAAAAGAAAACGCGTTGAAGGTTGGTTAGGTTCTCAGTATCGTTGGTCTTGATACAGACCAAACATCTCGTCATAAAAAAACGGCAAGAATAATCAGTTAATACCCATCAATCAAGTCTTGTCCTTTTCCTCCTCTTCTCTCTCATACAAGCTTTATTCTGCCGAGGCTTGAGCTTTTTAAATCTCAATCTTGATTGAGATTTTGCATGTTTCCTGATCTTTTAATCTCAGATGAAGAATCTTGGGTTGTTCAAAATTCTTCTTCTTTTCTTCTGTCTCTTTCTCTCGACCCACATAGTTTCTGTTTCTTGTCTAAACTCAGATGGGTTAACTCTACTCTCGCTTCTGAAGCATTTGGACAAAGTACCACCTCAAGTAACTTCGACATGGAAGATAAACGCATCTGAAGCAACCCCATGTAACTGGTTTGGTATCACTTGTGATGATTCTAAGAATGTTGCGGCTCTCAACTTCACTCGCTCTAAGGTTTCAGGTCAATTGGGTCCTGAAATTGGAGAGCTCAAAAGCTTGCAGATTTTGGATCTGAGTACTAACAATTTCTCTGGGACTATACCTTCCAGTTTAGGAAACTGTACCAAGCTCGTTACTCTAGATTTGTCTGAAAATGGATTCACTGGTAAGATCCCAGATACTCTCGATAGCTTGAAGAGCTTGGAGGTGCTTTATCTTTACATAAACTTCCTCACTGGTGAGTTACCTGAATCCTTGTTTCGAATTCCGAGGTTACAGATTTTAAATCTTGAGTATAACAATTTAACCGGTCCGATTCCGCAAAGTGTTGGTGATGCTAAGGAGCTTCTTGATCTCAGTATGTTTGCGAATCAGTTTTCTGGTAACATCCCTGAGTCGATTGGGAACTGCAGTAGTCTGCAGGTTGTGTATTTGCACAGGAACAAGTTAGTTGGTTCGTTACCTGAAAGTCTCAATCTTTTGGGGAATCTCACTGATCTATTTGTTGGTAACAACAGTCTACAAGGGCCGGTTCGTTTCGGATCATCTAATTGCAAGAATTTGATGACTTTAGATTTGTCCTACAATGAATTCGAAGGCGGTGTTCCAGCTGCATTGGGAAATTGCAGTAACCTTGACGCTCTGGTGATTGTGGATGGTAACTTGTCAGGTACAATTCCTTCCTCATTGGGTATGTTAAAGAAGCTTACAGTTATAAACCTTTCCGAGAATCGTCTCTCTGGGAGTATCCCCGCAGAGCTCGGGAATTGTAGTAGCTTGAGCTTGTTGAAGCTGAACAATAACCAGCTTGGAGGTGAGATACCGAGTACATTGGGTAAGCTTAAGAAACTAGAAAGTTTGGAGCTTTTCGAAAACCGGTTTTCGGGTGAGATTCCTATGGAAATATGGAAGAGTCAGAGTCTTACGCAGTTGCTAGTTTATCAAAACAATCTCACAGGAGAACTACCTGTGGAAATGACTGAGATGAAGCGTCTAAAGATCGCGACGCTGTTCAACAACAGTTTTTATGGAGCTATACCATCGGGTTTAGGTGTGAACAGCAGCTTAGAAGAGATTGACTTTATTGGTAACAAACTTACAGGAGAGATACCGCCGAATCTATGCCATGGAAGGAAGTTGAGAATACTCAATTTGGGTTCTAATCTGCTTCATGGTACAATACCAACTTCTATTGGTCACTGTAAGACCATCAGGAGATTCATCCTTAGAGAAAATAACCTTTCAGGTCTTCTACCTGAGTTTTCTCGGGATCATAGCCTTTTCTTTCTTGATTTCAATAGCAACAACTTTGAAGGACCAATCCCGCGCAGCCTCGGAAGCTGTAGGAATCTCTCGAGCATCAACCTGTCTCGAAACAAACTTACGGGACAGATACCTCCACAACTTGGGAATCTACAAAACCTTGGCTATTTGAATCTTTCTCGTAATCTTCTTGAAGGCTCTCTACCAGCTCAGCTATCTAACTGTATGATTATAGAGCGTTTTGATGTTGGGTTCAACTCATTAAACGGTTCTATTCCCTCAAACTATAGTAACTGGAAAGGCTTGGCGACTTTGGTTCTTAGCGATAACCGGTTTTCAGGAGGTATTCCGCAGTTCTTTCCTGAACTTAAAAAGCTGTCAACTCTGCAGATTGCTAGAAATGCTTTTGGTGGTGAGATTCCTTCGTCGCTTGGGTTGATAGAGGATCTGATCTATGATTTGGACCTTAGCGGGAACGGATTGACAGGTGAAATTCCAGCCAAGTTGGGGGATCTTAACAAGTTAACAAGACTCAACATATCCAACAACAATTTGACAGGATCTTTATCGGTTCTTAAAGGTCTTACCTCATTGCTACATATTGATGTCTCCAACAATCAGTTCACCGGTCCAATACCAGAAAACTTGGAGGGTCAGTTGTTATCTGAGCCATCGTCGTTTTCAGGAAATCCCAACCTTTGCATTCCACATTCCTTCTCTGTTAGCAACAATAGCCGCAGCGAGTTAAATTACTGCAAGGATCAATCTAAAAACAGAAAAAGTGGCCTTAGCACCTGGCAAATCGTGCTTATAGCGGTCTTATCCTCTTTATTCGTCTTGGTTGTGGTTCTTGCTCTTGTTTTCATTTGCCTACGTCGTCGCAAAGGAAGACCAGAAAAAGATGCTTATGTCTTCACCCAGGAGGAAGGCCCATCTTTGTTGTTGAACAAAGTTCTTGCAGCAACTGACAATCTAAACGAAAAGTACATCATTGGAAGAGGAGCTCACGGAATTGTGTACAGAGCTTCTTTAGGCTCGGGAAAGGTCTACGCTGTGAAGAGACTTGTCTTCGCATCTCACATCCGCGCTAACCAGAGTATGATGAGAGAGATCAATACAATCGGTAAAGTCAGGCACAGGAATCTGATCAAGTTAGAAGGGTTTTGGCTGAGGAAAGATGATGGTTTGATGCTGTATAGATACATGCCCAAAGGAAGCCTGTACGATGTTCTCCATGGTGTTAGCCCAAAAGAAAATGTACTAGACTGGTCTGCACGGTACAACGTAGCGCTCGGTGTCGCTCACGGACTGGCCTATCTACACTATGACTGTCATCCCCCGATTGTTCACCGTGACATCAAACCAGAGAACATACTAATGGACTCGGATTTGGAGCCTCACATTGGGGATTTCGGTTTGGCTCGCCTTCTCGATGACTCAACTGTTTCAACTGCAACTGTTACAGGAACCACTGGGTACATCGCACCAGGTAATGTATCTTCTCATTACACCTGTAGTAGACTTGGTATAACTAACTGGTTTAGTGTTGAAACCAAGTTAGTTACCGGTTAAAATTCTGTTAGGAGTTAGTTAAATTAATTGTAATAGATACTCTGTTTCTTCTTTCTCTGGATCATTAGCTAATTTTGACCATGAAACTGCAGAAAACGCTTTCAAAACCGTGAGGGGAAGAGAATCCGATGTTTACAGTTACGGAGTCGTGTTACTCGAGCTGGTAACGAGGAAGAGAGCGGTGGACAAATCCTTCCCGGACAGTACAGATATAGTAAGCTGGGTGAGATCTGTATTGAGCAGCAGCAACAACAATGTGGAGGACATGGTAACAACAATCATCGATCCACTTCTCGTGGGCGAGCTCCTAGATTCGAATCTTAGGGAACAGGTGATCCAAGTGACGGAACTGGCACTGACTTGTACGGATAAGGATCCGGCAATGAGACCAACGATGAGAGATGCGGTGAAACTGTTGGATGATGTGAAATATCTTGCAAGAAGCTGCTCCTCTGATTCAGTTCGGTAAATTTCGTTGCTGTTAAGCACAAGGAACTGTGATTAGTGTGTTGTTAACTTACTGGGCCAATAATGTAAAATATGGGCCTACTTAAGGCCCAAATATGACGGCCCTTTAGTTGTAATCGTTTTTGTGAAATAAAAAATCTCGTTTATCAATCAATTTGTGTTTTCTTTTCTTTTTCAAAAAATTGTTGGGGGAAAATTTTCGTTTGGCCGGAGATGAAGATAGGGGCGTTTCGGGATAGTTGGCTTATGCGGGCTCCGGTACTTTCTCCGGCGGTTCACGGCTCAATTCGCCGGAATGGAAAGTCGCAGCTTGGGTTTCGTCTCTCGAACAGTGAGCTTAAGCTCTTCTTCTCTTTCATTTAATGTTTTTTCTGGGAACGCATTATCCTGTACACACTTGTAGTAACTTGGTCTATATCAAATTGAGGTCACTGTGTTTAGTAGTAATGTTAGAAGATGAAAGTTTACGAAAAAAAAAAAAAAAAAAAGAAGATGAAAGTTTTGGTTTTTTTTTGTGTTTGCTGAGTCTTGTTGGATTTGTATGATAGATTTTGGATATCACAGGGTTTTCTCGTGGTGTGGTTCTGGCTGTTCAAGGAGGAAGAGGATATGAATCTCCATGGGATGAAAAACCCTATGAAACTCTTCCCACTGGTAAAAGGGTTTACGTTGATGAATCTGATGTTGTGACGTTTCTTGATCCACCCAAGGAGTTGATTCCATTGGATCCTGCTTCATATAACCCGGCTGCTTATCTCTGGTTAGTCTGCTTCGATTGATTGAGTTCCAGCGTTGATTCATTCAATCTGATGTAGCATATATAACTTAGTCATAACACTGGTGATAGCTATACAACATGGAATATGATTAGGTATATGCTGCAGCTTCAGTTTACTTTTTCTCTTCGCTTGCTTATGAGGGATTGGAGCGTTATTCCATGATTAATGTAGCATAGTCTTAGGTTTGCTTTTCAAATTTGTGTGCTGTTTAATTACCTGTTGATTAATGATGTTTCATATCTTAAAACAAGAGGGTAGAATGACATCATCAATTGGAGTTATACTACCATTAGTTCATGAAAGTAGCTGTTAGATTTCATCTGACGTATTATAAAATACTAAGATGACTGTTTAATAGAGTTGATATTGTACAGGAAAAAGATTGAAGACATCCCCGAAGAGAGGCGCCACCATTTGCTGCAATTATTAGAGCCGAGGTCATTCTTTCTGAATTCTTATCGATATTTAGCTTTGATGTCATGTGGTTTTCTTACATCTCTGGGAAAAGATTGGATTCATATGCCAAAGAAGTTGACATGGAAAAAGAACTTAGATCATATTTTAGGATGTACAGTTTTATTCATGAGAGTGTATGTATGCAGACTTATATCTAAAGCATGGGAAATAGCAAGCACTCGGTATGAAGATCCAAAGTTAGCTAAAATGACTGCATCCAAGTTATTCTCTACTGGAGATGCGGAAATTTCATTTGAATACTTTAGCTGCCGAACAAGTCAGGGTAATCCATTTTAGGTCTGAGCCCCTACAAATATAAATGTTTTTGTATTTTATCTATGTCTGGTTTTGCATGTTGATGCTTATGTTCTTGACAACTTCTAAAGTATTTTTCTCTTATTGTTTAGGTCCACTGATCGTATCTTGGATAAATTTCTTCAAGATGGTTAGTCGGACTGATATTACTTCCATCCCTATTTCATTCGGCAGTATCTATATCCTGTGCTATCTTTCTTGACATAGTTAATATGCTAATTGGTAGGCTTTGTTTCGCTCCAACAACGGCCAAATCTATGGGCGAGTTTGTGGTGAGTCCTGATCCAAATAATGTTTCTCTCAAAATAAACAAGTAATCAGTTTTCCAGTGGCAGTTGCTGAGAGTTGAAAGTCAACACTTAAGGCATATATAAGTTGATGTGGAACTCTATCTAACAATGTTCAGATCAAATATGAGCTTATTTTCACTGGAACTGATATGCAGTAAGTTAATTAGAAAACAAATGATTTTCCAAATGGCTTGCAGGCTTTTTGCTCATCTGCCCTCAATAGATTTTATAACATGTGTGATTTATTTCTTTTTCCAGGGGCAATCGTTGCATTTAAGATATTTTCTGATTTGTATACATCTTATGACTTTTTCAAAACCTTTTCGCAATAAATGAATGAACATAAGTGATCGTCATGCTATTACTTCTGTTGTATTATTTACACAAAAATCTCAAGACATTCCATCGTGCAGGTGGACCGGTAGTTTCAACCCTTGCCAATGCTTTAAGTCCGCTATACTTTGAGGTCACAGAAGCTATGGAAGTTATGGCCACAGAAGAACCCTGCGATGTTGCATGCAAATTTGGTGATGGGCTTCTTGCTATTGAAGATTACCCACAAGGCTTCCCTAGACCAGGTAAGACTCATTGCTTATACTTACTTGAGATTAGCCACTTCCACTTTCCTTGCAAAAGAAGACTATTAGTAAATTCCCACTGTGACCATATTACAATTCTGAGCATTACTTTAGCAAAACCTTCTATAAAACCAAAGCGTTTCTATTGAAATATCATTCTGCTTGGAGCATTTAGTAAAGCAAAACAAGAAACACATAATCGTATATAAGTTTCTTTCTTACATATTTGAGAATAGCATATAGACAACAAGGTGTCTCTAAACGCCATAGCTTCATTTGTTTTTTCTTTGCAGCAAAGCATCCGTATCCATTCAACGACAGTGTGGTCATATACATACGCCACATCGGTCCAGGTGTATGCGTGGGACAGGCATGGCAAGAAGGTAAAGAACTGCAACAAGTTCCTCAAAGATTATGCTCCGACATTTTAATGGTCAAACAATACAGATGAATGAAGGAGAGGCCTTTGTTAACGTAAATTGCAAGCTTTTCACACTAGCTTGAAGAGCTTTTAGTTTAACTTGAATTAGAAAGTGAAAACAGATTGCTTGAAAAGCTTTTTGTTAACGTAGATTCTGATTCCTTTAAGACAGAAAATTCAATTAATGGTGATACAAATTAAAAGGGATGAGATTATTAAATGACATTCAAATAACAAGATCTGTGACTGTGTTTCATGTATAGATTGTTGTGCCATCATCGTTCATCGGTAATTAATTTTGGATAGGAAAAATGAAAAAAAAAAATGGCAACAGTAACTTATTACACAAAGACCGAAAGAAAGGAAAGGTAACAATAGGCTGTGTTGTGTAAGAAAAATTCATCATTTTCAAGACACTGAATATGGTTTTGACGGCGGAGATGACGCAAACGTGAATCTAACGGACCGTATTCTCTGTAACACCAACGTCTATTTGCTTGTTTCATCTGCATCAAAATAGTCAAATCTCAGAAAATGCTTTAAAGAAAGGAAAGGTGTCCCTGTACACGTTGCCACTTGCTTTTTTTTTCACTCTCTCTCTCGTCAGGAATCGCCTCTGCTCTTTTATAATCCTCCGGTCTCTCTCTCCCTCTCTCTAATTCGGAGCGCTAATTCTGTTCTCTCATCTTCTTGAGGTTGGTGATAATCTTGAATTCTTGTTTTTTCGTTTTTCTTTTTTGTGTGTTTAAGTTGAAATCTGGAATATGAATATAAACGAATGTTGCACTGTAGATACAGTTTAGTTTTTGTTGATAAATCTAAAATTACTATGTTCCAGTTTTGGATTAAGGGTTCTTCTGGTTGCATAGCTAGGTCTAAATAAAAAGTAGGGATCTTGATGCAAAAAAGAATATATTTTTTTTTTTTTTTCTGGTTGCCCTAGGCATGAAAGATCTGCTGGTGTTTAGAATTTGTGGGCTTCAATTATTTTGACTTCTAAGTTGATGATTTGTTACATTTTGGAGGAAAAAAATCTATGAACAAAAAGAACAAACTGAAGCGCTTTTAGATGCATTAGGTTTTATGGAAAAAAGGCTCATGTACCTTTTGAGGGAGTACATTACTTGTTTAGCAAAGTTTTCATTTTTATATGTAAATGGATTTGTTTGTATGAAAGTCTAGAATGAACAGCTTTTGCAGGAAATAATCACACAAGACAATACCACTGCAAGTTGTGTACAATAGGGCTAATGCAGTAAATGTTGTTGTTGTGATAATTTATATTTTTGACAGCTTGAAATAGGTACATGGGATAAAGCTGTACTGTCTATATTCTTCTAGCTAATCTAAGCTTTGGTTAATACTTTTAGTCCAAATGTTGGTTCTTATTTCCGTTCTTCTTACTTCCGCAGGATTTTAGCAATGGAAGGAGTTCCTGGGGTCAATACTGTTCCGAATCCTAACCATTATGACAAGTCAATAGTGTTAGATGTAAAACCGCTGCGAAGTTTGAAACCTGTTTTTCCTAATGGTAATCAAGGTCCACCTTTTGTTGGTTGTCCACCTTTTGGTCCTTCTTCATCTGGGTCTTCTCCTTTCTTCCCATTTGGAACACAACAACCAACGCAGGATACTCCAGATCTCAACCAAACTCAGGACACGCCTACTCCATCATTTGTTCCACCTCTTCGATCGTATAGAACACCTACTGAAACAAATGGCCCCAGCAGCTCTAGTGGAAGTAAACGAGGAGTTGGTCGACCTAAGGGTCCTAGTAGTGTGAAGAAAAAAGAGAAGAAGACTGTGGCCAATGAGCCTAATTTAGATGTTCAGGTAGTGAAAAGATTCAGTTCAGATTTTGACAGTGGGATCAGTCCAGCAGAGCGAGAAGATGGAAATGCGTACTTAGTAAGTAGCGTATTGATGCGTTATGATGCAGTTAGGAGGCGGCTCAGCCAAGTAGAATTTGCAAAGGCCGCTACTTCTAAAGCAGCAGGTACTCTGATGAGCAATGGGGTGCGGACAAACATGAAGAAGAGAGTTGGAACGGTTCCTGGAATTGAGGTTGGAGATATCTTCTTTTCCCGGATAGAGATGTGTTTAGTGGGTCTTCACATGCAGACTATGGCTGGCATTGACTATATAACTAGTAAAGCCGGTTCAGATGAAGAGCCTTTAGCAACTAGCATTGTTGCATCTGGACGTTATGAAGGTGAAGCTCAGGATCCTGAGTCATTAATTTATAGTGGACAAGGCGGCAATGCAGACAAGAACGGACAAGCATCTGATCAGAAGCTTGAAAGGGGTAATCTAGCACTAGAGAAAAGCTTGAGGAAGGGTAATGGAGTAAGAGTCATAAGAGGGGAGGAAGATGCAGCTACCAAAACAGGAAAGATCTATATCTATGATGGGCTTTATTCGATCTCAGAGTCATGGGTAGAGAAAGGGAAATCTGGTTGCAACACCTTTAAATATAAATTGGTGAGACTGCCTGGTCAACCACCTGCTTTTGGCGTTTGGAAATCTGTTCAGAAGTGGAAGGAAGGTTTGACTACAAGACCAGGCCTGATCCTTCCAGATATCACTTCAGGAGCTGAAAGTAAACCTGTTTCACTTGTGAACGATGTTGATGAGGAAAAGGGGCCTGCTTATTTTACCTATATCTCCTCTCTGAAATACTCAGATTCCTTTAAACTAACTCAGCCCGCAATTGGTTGTTCCTGCAGTGGCTCATGTGCACCAGGAAATCTTAACTGCTCTTGTATCAGGAAAAATGATGGTGATCTCCCTTACCTTAATGGGGTTATGCTCGTTTCCCGGAGGCCGATTATATATGAATGTGGCCCAACGTGTCCATGTCATGCCAGTTGCAAAAACAAAGTGATTCAGACAGGACTGAAATCGCGTCTGGAAGTGTTTAAGACAGGAAATCGCGGTTGGGGTTTACGTTCATGGGATTCCATACGTGCTGGTTCTTTCATATGTGAATATGCTGGTGAAGTCAAAGACAAAGGCAACCTTAGAGGAAACCAAGAAGAGGATGAGTATGTCTTCGACACATCGCGTGTTTTTAACTCGTTTAAGTGGAATTATGAGCCTGAACTTGTAGATGAAGACCCTTCAGATGAAGTGCCCGAGGAGTTTAATCTCCCATCACCACTCCTAATCAGTGCCAAGAAATTTGGCAATGTAGCTCGGTTCATGAACCATAGTTGCTCTCCCAACGTTTTTTGGCAGCCAGTTATTTGTGAAGGAAACGGTGAATCGGTTATCCATATTGCTTTCTTTGCCATGCGTCACATCCCTCCTATGGCAGAATTGACATATGATTATGGGGTTTCTCCTACATCCGAGGCCAGGGATGGTAGCCTTTTACACGGACAGAGGACATGTCTCTGTGGATCTGAGCAATGTCGTGGTTCATTCGGATGATCTGGGACTGTTTATCTAATTAACATAATCCGTTTGAAACCATTGTCACAGGACAGAAAGTCTTATGTGTGTAGCAAAGCACAAAAGTGGTGGCTTTTGTTCTTCTTCTTAAGGTAAAAGGTTGCCGTTTTTGATATCTGTGTGTTGTATGTTATGTGACGATGCATACACATCTAATCAATTGTTCTGTATTGGCACCACATCGGCTTTAGGTTCAATGCTCATGGTTTTAGTAAAAACAAACTCTAATAGAGTGATTCGGTTATATTTTAAAGCTTTTGTAACAACTTATCAGGATTCAGCTCAGTGTTCCTCGAAAGTCACGATGAGAATGAAAAAGAATTGATGTTTGTTTGGTATTAATCGTCCATGTTCTTCATGTACTCCTTGGAAAGCTTTGTTTCCATAATAAGTTTTTGTTCATTTATGAGTGAGTACCCTGATTCCAGCAATGCTTCCACCGTTTGCTGTTCACACCATATCATCAATCTTAAGTGGAGCCAAAGCTTAAAAGTTTTAAAAGAAAGCTTGTAAGCATTTACCTCAGGGGGAGTGAATTGAGGAACCTCTTTGGTCTTTTTACTTCTGAGAAGAATTTTCCCTAGAGTCTCCATTCCTCCAGCTTCATCTACCCACTGTAACAACAAAGAGATCATTTCACTGCAAAGATCTAATCGTTATCAGCTGTTCATGGCTAAATTACTACCTTGAGGATAGATCTATCATATGTGCGTGACCTCAGAGCTCCATAGAAGTCAAGTGCTGCCACAAAGATAGAAAGCTTAAGGAACTGTATCTTTGTATTTCTCATCTAGATAGTAAACTATTTACCTTGATTTGGAAACTTATCTACAATGCTTATAACATCTTTCCGCGATATACCGTCTTTCTCGTACATTCTGCTAACAATGTTTACGATATCTTCACGAGTTGGCTGCCTGTTTTTTTAGCATCAAACACTTCAGATTCTTTGTCAGAAAAGATTCCACAGTTGCAGGAAAATGGATGGCAAGCTGTGTATTATATATACCAGTAGAACTTCTCCATTCTTCCTTCACGGATCAGAGGAGCATACAGTGTAGAGAAATCATTCCCTGTGACAATAAGAGGAACTCTGTTTACAATGTCAGCTTCTCTCCATTCTTGCCCCACACTTACCCTTGTAGGATTATCCGCAAGATTCATCAGAGTACCAACAACTATCTGGTTGTTTACTGTCATTTGCGTTTCCCCTAAACCGAGAGCAATAAACTCGGTTAAGATTACCTCTGCGGAATAAAAGCAGAGTCACTACATCGCTCAAAGTTATCTGGAATATGGCTTTTTACCAAATCTACCAAGGCCAGCATCGATATCATTGATCATGAGAACACTCATCTTCCCCTGCATTATTAAAATCATCATGAAAGTTCATGCCAAACCCATATAGATAATAAATAGGTGTAGTAAGACAGGGAATGACAAAGAAAAGCTTCTAACTTGATTCTGAATGACTTGTGAAGCTGTTCGATAGCGGTCACGTATGAGTCTTCCCGGTTCCCCTGTTAGGGAATATTAGAAAGGTCAGAACTTTCGATAGCACAATGGTTTGTGAAAGCAACCAGGTCCTAGGAAATGGTTTACTACGTAGTCCCGACGATATGGGAGTAAACAAAGTTGGAAAAAATCACCAGCTCTATCAGATTCCAACTCCCCTGCAGACATTATAACCGGTTCAACTCCCATTGTTTTGAAAATAAGTTCGGTCTGAAACGTTTTGCCTTGTCCTTTACCTCCCCAGATACCTAAGCAACCAAAAAAAAACACAGCATTGTTCAAGAGATGGCAGCAAAATTTCAAACACTGATACTAAACAGAGAAGCAGCAGGGAATACATTACCTAAGATCAATGGGATTTTTATATTTAGAGAAGGAGCAAGGTAGTTCTTCACAATGTGCACCGCTGCAGAAATCAAACGAAAATCGACTTAGTAAGGTAAACTGAAAGTAAGAAAGAAACATCACAAATTAAATCAAAAGTTCCAGACTTTAGGCAATCAAATATGAACCCTATGATCCAATTTGTTGTTACTGATGTATTCCTTTATTCCTCTAATCTTCACCAAGGCTTAGTTCAATATAACTTACCAACTTTATCCTGTCAAGAAAGAAGACACATGTTATAAGCAAACTTGGTAACACATTCCCACAATTTAAAGCTTAGAATTCAGTTTTAAAAGCATTCAAACAAGAGACAGACTAGAAGATAATCATTCGGACATGGAAGTTCATGCTTGATTGATTTCTTCAAAATCAGATTACAAGAAGAAGAAGAATAAAACATTTACCAGAAACGATGGAGCAATGTAATAATCCCCTTGAAGATGTTCAAAGGACCTCGTCGCCTTCTGACGGTAATCAAACACAATATCAGCTGCAAATTAACAGATATATACACAACTTCTGTCAACTCCACAATCAGAGTAAAAAAATCGAGTCTTTGTACTAATCCAAATTCCAAAAAGAAGAAAGAGAGACTTAACAATCTTTTCCAAGGAAGTCTCCAATGAAAACGTCATCGATCATGCCGCTACGTGCCCCAACGGATATGTTAACATTATCAGACTCCGCGCCAAGCCTATAGAGATAGTCCTTCCCTTCCGAGTCTTTAACTTCCCATGAAGATTGCTCCGATAACTTCTTCCGCGGCTTTGTGCCACCGTCGTCATTAGCCACTTTGCCGCCGTCGGGTTTGGAGCAAACGATCGAAGAGGGTTTTCTTGTAGTATTGAATGTGGAAGATGAAGATGATTTTAAAGGTGGAAATTTGAAACGCAGTGATATGTTTGTAAGCGCCATTAAACCCCTCAAATCACACTACACAAAAATAAAGCTTCCACCTTTTTTCTTTACCAATCTTTTTCTAACTAAAAAACTTTTTTTTCCCAAGATAGGATATCGAAGAAGAAGAAGAAGAGCCATTTGTTCTTAAAGCCATTCTGGTTTATTGTCTGATAGTGTGACAAAATCTGTGGTTCTTGAAGACAAAGACTTAGTTCTGGTCCCACTTGTGTTACTACTTGAATATAAATTTTGTTCGGTGGGATTTGGATAAAGAAGCTTTAAGCAAACAACAAATTGATTAACGTGCATATATGCATTGGTATATATATTTTGTGCTCTCATTAGCAAGTGACAAGAACAACAACAACGACTAATTCATCGGCTAATATATTTCCGAAAAGTCGAAAACTAAGACCTGAAAATATCAGAAGTGAGAATGCTGACAGCGTCGGGAAATGGAATTGGAGCTGTTTTATTACAAGGGAACGACAACCTCTAGGGCCAAGCCTATGGAAAGCTTTTCCAATCTCCTTCACGCTGGCTAAGAGGCCACCTGGTGCCACATCATAGGCACATTGCGAACGTAAATAACAGCTTAGAAGGAAAGTGAGGCACTATTCGCGTCGCCAGTGCGGAGGGCTTTGGCTTATGTAGATCAAAAATGATGAATGGGATTGTGGCACTCCACTCGCCGCCAATGCGTTTACCGGGTAGTGTTCCCATGGGTCTCTTTGATGAAGAGGCGGTTTGAGCAACTTGGTTGTCAAGAGATTTGCCCATCATACGGCTCACCAACTTGCCTCTATGGGAGGCTCACTCCGGGAACCCTAGAAAGAGGCTGGCCCAACTCATTTTATAATCATCATTAATTATTCATTATCATTGGCTATGTGACATTGCATATCAACTTAATTACACATATATTTGTAATGTTTTACCCATCACAACAATAGACACACAGAGACAAGACTTATAGAGTTTTCGATGACAATAAACTGAGAGAGCCACTTGAGAGTGGATGGATCAAGAGAACCAGTTAACGAGGTCGTCCGCGTGGCTGCCAGCTGGAGGAGGAGGCACATCTTGCATTACTTTCTCTTGCCCCTTTGGATAGTATATTCCCGTTCCATCATGTGGCACCCAACTACTCGCCGGCGACGACGTCTCTCCGGCGCCGTAGAAGCCTCTCATCGTCTTCACCTCCTCTCCGGCGCTTGAGCCCTCCGTCTTCGCTGTCTCCCTGACTATGTCGTGCGACGCACTCTTCTTGTGAATCGACTTCCTAAGCATCGGCCTATATATTATATATTTATATGCAAATTGCTTGTGTTAATACATAACATGCACACATAGACATAGTTAAACAATCATAACTCTTTTTGTGGTCAAGAACAACAACAAAACTTTATGATTAGCATGGGTTATGCGTAAAGATAACATGCAAAAATCGAAAAATGGTTCAATAATCTTCATTTACAAAACAAAAATGCATTGGCTCTACACTATATTGGTAAACTTACTTGACGAACATGGTGTTCATGGTTTGTGCTCCACGAGACGAGAAGGTAGAAGTCGCCATGTCAATCTCTATGATCTCTTGATTACAATGTGTGTGTATGAAGAATCTGATGTAGGCAAATATATATTTATATTATGTGTGTGTGTTGAGAGAGTTGCATATATATATACGCACACACATGACAAATCATAAAATGTGAATGGAATTTCAACAAAATTCTTTAAAAAGAAAAAAGAAAAAAGAATTTGGGATGGAAGGAATGATGGAGAGGGATCATCCAGATGCACACTCCCCAAGGTGGATTTATCGTCAGACCCATGCCTCTTTTGTGCCATTCCCCTCCACATGGCATAATCCACGTATTCTTATTTTGGATCATTCTTCTTCAAAACGTATGCGTACACATACATGATCATGTTTTTGGTCACTTGTGGTGTGCATGATTCATGACCCATCTTTACTATTTTTAGTATTTTAATTATATTGGGCCTTAAATTTTAAGCCCGTTTACTTTAGATATGTAGACACATTAAAGGCCCATACAAGATCGGAATCCTTATTTAACTAAAATAAATATCATCAATACACATAGATATCCAAAATCTAATATAAGCTATTTAATATTTATTTATTGTTGTATGATTCTGATTCTGTTCAGGCCTTTTTCTCGTTTCTTCCTCTGTTGTAGTCTCCTTGTTACTTTCTCAGGTAAATTCTAATCCCTTTCCTTGTTTCTCTCATCTCTGTTTACTTTGAATTTCAGGGTTTATCTGCTTTTCATCACTTTCTGTGTTTTTCATCTTAAAGTCTCGTTTTTTTTATGTAATTTGATGCGTCTATCAGTTACTCTTTTTCAGCGATCTTCGTGCTCTGGTCACAAATTCGAGAGAGCTGTATATAGTTTTCCTAGATTATTCATATTTTCCGAGAAAGCAGCAGAATTTCGATAAAATCTAGACCTAAGGAATAGTGACGATGGCAAAAGTTTCAGGGTTTTTGAGCTGTTTCTTAGTGAGGACCTGTTTTTTGTTGTTTGAAACTTTCATCTTCTTATCATCCATCTGCGTTTGATATTTATCAACAGTTCTTCTTTTCTTATTGTGATGATGTTACCTTACCAAAGTTTGTATTTTTGCTGCATAATTTTCGTATAGCGTGAGCCATCATGGGACCAGAATCTAAAGGAAGAGCATGGTTTGGTAAAATCTACAACAAGTTGGAAACTATACTTGTTGAGGTTGATTCTTTCACTTCTCAGGTAAGTCCATTGTTTGATTGTCATATTAATTCTACGTAATGATGTTTAGAGAGTATAGAGAATGACTGATGGTTTCTTATGTTGGGACTTTGGGACAGACCACGCTTTGTTTGAAATCAAGTGAACCTCCGGGATTCGAATCTGTTAGAGGTGACTCAAAGGAAGTCGCAGAGGACCGTTCTTACGGAACTTATAGTGTGCAAGGACATCATGATCGTGTTGATTCACCGAGTTTTAAAAGTCCGTTTGATCCACCGTCACATCAGAACTTTGACATTCCAGGACATGTTCTGGTTGAGAAGCGAGTTCAAGGCGATATTGTGAAGGAGAATGTAGTTCAAAGAGATAGTTTTGAGGAGAATTCATCTGCAGCCTCCTTATCTGACGGAGAAACAGACTCTACATCTCCACTGCTCGAAGAGTACTGTGATGCTAATATGACATCAACCACTAGTCTTGGTGCTGAAGAACAATTTATTTCTGATGAAGAAGAGTCTCAGATCTTACCTGATGAAGAAATACTTTCTACATCTCCATTGCTTGAAGAGTATCATGATGCTAATCTGACATCACCCACTACTGATGAAGAGTCTCATATCATTAACACTTTGACACCTCAGAAATTTTCTGATGAACCAAAGGAAGTCGCAAAGGATCGTTCTTCAGGAGCTTCTATTGTGCAGCAACACCATGACACTGTTGATTCGCCGGGTTGTAAAAGTCCTTCTGATCCACCACTAGATCAGAACTTTGACATTTCAGGACATGTTCTGGTTGAGGAACGAGTTCAAGGCGACATTTTTATGGAGACTTTAGTTGACGGATATAGTTTTAAAGAGAATTCATCAGCCTCTTCCTTGGATGATGAAGAAATACTCTCCACATTGCGGTTGCTTGAAGAGAGTTATGATGCTAATCTGACATCAGACACTAGTCTTGGTGATGAAGAACCAATAATTAACGATGCTGAGTCTCAGATCACTAACACTTTAACCACTCAGAAGTTTTCTGCTGGAAGCTCTTCTGTTTTTCCAGACGGGGAAAGTGTACAAGACGTTAGAGTTGAATCCTCCTTGCCTGATGGAGAAATATTCTCTACATCTTCATTGTTTGAAGAGTACTGTGATGCGAATTTGACACCAGCCACTACTCTTGGTGATGAAGAACCGATAATTACCGATGATGAGTCTTGGATCACTAACAGTTTAACCTCTCAGAAATCTTCTGCTGGAAACTCTTGGGTTGTATCAGGCGAGGAAAATGTAGAAGAAGTTAAAGTTAAATCGTGCAGAGATGTTGTTTCCACAGAACCTCAATCTACTCAAAGTTTTGGGACAGTAGTAGAATGTAATGATGATTCAAGTCTTAATCCACTCGCCACCAAGGTTCCAGATACACCTGTTCAAGATAATGTGGTAAACATGAGATCCTCTAATGCAGGTTGGTGCTTCAATTATATATTTTCTCTAGTTTTGAAGTTCTACTCATTTCGGGTTGTGCTATTGTTCACTAAAAGTTTTAAAACCTTGAATTTTCATGCGTTTTTGTTTTTGGTTTCTAACATGTGCAACACTTTTTTTTTTAATTCCTCTAGATAACCCAGATGATGTGATTAATGGCAAATCTGATGTTACTCCATCAGATACCAATGCATTGTACGGCATAGAATTTCAAAAAGACCCCTCGTATGTTGATGACAGTGTGCTTTATGCAGTGCGTGCTAGGATCATTGCTGAGCTGTGCGGCATGGAATCTCGAGAAGACCCCTATGTTGAGGACAGTGTGCTTTATGCCATTCATCTTAGGACCGAGAAACTCAGATCCTTCAAGGTTCCTTGCTTTCTCCCTCTTTTTCTTAGATATTTCTTTGTGATAAACTTGAAACCTTGTTTCTTGCTAGTTACCCGAAACCTTGTTTCTTGCTAGTTACCGGAAACCTTGTTTCTTGTTAGTGAATGCTAATCTTGATTACAGATTTTTCTGACTGATATTAGACTTGAAAATTTGGTTTCCATGATCGTCAATGATCAAAACCCTTTCAAAAAAACTTAGCATTATCTCATAAGGAAGCATTGGTAGCATTATCTCATAAGGAAGCATTAGTTATCTCCCATTGCCTAATTCTAACTTTTCTATCATCATCAGAGAAAAATCTTGGATGCTTTAACTTCAAAGAAAAGAAGAGAGAAGGAATATGAGCAGCTTCCAATTTGGTTTGGAGATGCGGATATGGGCTCTGATCTGGCCACTAAGGAAGACTCTAAACAAGTGGAAGCCACAGACTCCAAAAGCTCACAGCTACTTGAATCAGAAGATTCCCAGTGGGAGCTATTGTGAGATTTTTGTTCATTTCATATGGTACCAAGTTACAATCCGGCCTGTGTTTTATCTTGAGTGAGACACCTGTTACTATATTTAAACATTGATGAGCTAATCTGCTCTGAGATTGAAGCTTTTTTGACAGTGAATAAACCAAAAAATTATCCTATCTTTTCTTGCTCTCATATCTGCTCCCAAATGAAAACCATTGTTGGTAAAACTTAATAAACTTGAGCTTGACACTCCCCGAGAAGGGATCAAAAGAAATTGCGGTGACTGCGAAGCAAATATGCATAGAGAATCTCATTCCATGTATCAGGAACTCCTGACAAACACCAGTGGATGCAATCTCCATAGTTTTTCGGATCAGCTCTCTGTTCCTTTGTCAAGAGCTTCCCTCTCCGTTCGCCATAGACAGTCGTATGTCCATCCTTCCTATATTCTGACAGTTGCGTAATGTTCAGGAATGTGACATTTTCTCCGACTCTGCTTAGAACATCACCAACTATCTTCATGATTTCTTGATTTGATCCTGTGCCCCAATATGATATTTTGTCTATTGGATATAACTCATCATAACAGGTTCCATCGCTCCCTGGATTCCACTCCCAGCTCCTGCCAATATCACACACCTAAATCAGTCTCCATGTCTTTGGAAATTGAAAAGGTTTGCTCTAAAAACTATCTATAATCTGTTAGTTTTTGATATCTTCTATGTTTTGTGTTTGGAAGGAACATACCATAGATGAGTCGGAGACATACTTGTGAAGAAAACTCTTTGCTTCTCGGGATTGATCTTCGTCTCAAACCACTTGGCCCATGTTTCTAACGCCATTTTATAAGCAGTCGTCACATTATACTCTCGGACTTCACTAGTATCTCCATATCTGTACATGCATATATACATATAAGTTTTCCTTCTAAACTCTTCCGCAATGCAAGCAGCCCGAATATGGCTTATGCGTTATATAGCTTACGTTGCATTGATCTTAGGTTGATGCATCCACCATACATAGCTCTCAAAGACTAGAACATCAACGCCTTCCCAGCTCTTGCTATGTTTTTCAATGGCGTCAAGGTTAACCAACCTTTTGTGAACTGTATGATTAGTTGCATGATCTGAAATTGATTCCACGATAAAAGGTGCCCAGTAATACTCGATGGATACATTGTATTCCTGATCAATTGCATACACTTAGGTATAAGAAACTATATTTGGCTTTTCTTACCATTCACGTTGAAAATCTCATCCTAGGAAGATGGGTTTTTATGTACCTGAGCTTTGAAGATCTTCATAGGAGGAATCCTGTGAAAGGACTTCTTCTTGTCAGGAATTACTGATTGTACCATACAGACCATTGACTCGAACGTGCTTCTCTGCACTGAGTCTCCTATGAACATTAGTCTTTTGTTTCTCAACACGTCCAACAGTTTCAGAGCATTGAACCTGAAACATCTCAGAGGTTTTAAACACTGCTCAAGTTTGGATCTGAGAGCATGAAACAACACATGCTTTTTCTTTCTTACCTGGGCAAGTCGCATGAGCTCGGTTTCCATCTCCAGCTCTGGTAATAAGAATCAGGCCGTCCATTTCGTTGACATGTTGTTTGTTTGACTAAGTAAGGACAGCTCTTCTCAGTATAAAGAGGGTAAGAGACGTTGTCCCAAACCCATTGTCCTTCAAAGACATTGCAGCTCTCATCAAGCTGATCCTCTTTGGTTACAAACACTGCCTCTTTCTGTCTGAAACGATATAGTTGGAATATTCGACTTTCTTTGCTTTTGAGTTCATCAAGGATCCATCTGGCGGATCCTAGAACTAGAAGACTAACAAGCAGAACTTGAAAGATGGAGTGAATCATTCGTGAAGCTGCAGAAGTTTGTATCGACATAAATTCGAAGCAGATTTATCGGAATAATTAGCTCTTTTAGAACTACTTCTTGCTGTTGAGCTCATGAATCGATGCTTGAAAAAAGCGTATGTATTCACATACAAGCATCAAAAAATGACTTTGTTCCATGCAACCACCAGTTGGTGATCGTTCTACATTAGGTAGCATGTCCCTTTATTTTTTTGGAGATTGATCTTAAAAAAAAACAAAAATTAGCTAACAAAGGTCTCGGCTTGGGTTTTGAGGACAAACTATTCTCCGATCTGGCCCAGCAAGATTGGTCACCGAAGAAAATCCAGTATTGGCCATAGAGCACAATTATGAACGTAAGACCAAAATAAAAGACAATTAAGAAGTACAGAACAAGCCTGTTCAATTGATGACACAAGCCCGAAACAAAACACTTGAGATGTTCACTTTTCTATACAGTTAACAAGAACCTAATACATAACAATCCGATGGGGAAAAGTTGGAAAAGAAGGCAACCTAGCTTTGCTATTGAAAGAGATGCAAATAAACCAAAAAGTTTGAAGTCAGACAACACGATGGCTCCCGCCTATGCTAAATACTTTCACAATCGTGGTTAATTACCGATATCAGATCCATGCCCTGAGCTATCACTGTCAGAATCTGCATAACGGAAAGAGGAATGTGAGTAAACTTGTTTGGAACTGTGCTGCTCACAAGGGAGAAGAATTTAAACCAGCTTCAACATTTACCACTAGAACCCGAGCCTGAGCCACTACTAGAACTGTTAGAACTACTTGATCCTCCAACATTTACTTCTTGTCGAACAGGAGATGCCACATGACCTTTTCAAGTGTCAAAAACATTAAAGAAGAGTTATTGCAGTGGGGCTAAACGACCAATATAGAAGAGCTTGATACTATCTTAAGAATTAAAATTTCACCTAATTCAGTAACTTTTGACGATTCAAGGCCAGTTACTAGTGTGTTCTGTGAAGACGGAAGAAGAAATATGATATTATTAGCCCAGTAAGAGTTATATGGTAAAAGTAAGCTAAGTGAATCACAATTAGGTATTTGCTCTCACCGGTTCTTGCACACTATTGTGAAAAGATTCAGCATCTCTTTCTGAGTCTAATCCATGTTCCTCTTTTTTCTTGCTCGAGCGCTCCTTATATTCAGTCACGAATCTGTAAAGCTCCCAAAGAGTTTCCAGATCAAGACTATCAATATCTAACTCAATCTCATCATCTTGTTGAGAGAGTTCTGGATTACTCTTCTTTATAATCTGCACAACTGCCTCTAGCTTGTCATAAGGTAAATCCTGAAGGTCTTCACTAAGTCTCCGCTTCTCATCAAACGTCAAGTCCCTGTCTGCAGACGCCTCTTCTACAGGCTTCTCAGGGACAACCGGTAGAACTGCAGGTTTCACTGGGTTTGTAATAGATTCTGCTCTCTCCAAAGTCCTATTTTCAACTACCGTAGGAGGAGGAGGAGGAGGTAACGGAAATGGCTCTATGTTATGAGTGTTTGTTGAAACAGGAGCATGGAGATCGATATCACGGACTGGTTGTTGCTTCCTATTAAGTAATCCATACTGCGTTTCAAGAGGCGCCCATTTCTCTTCAAACAGATTCAACAAAAACTCAGCCATATGATGCACATCATGCCCCACGGGATTATACAGCATTGCATTGTTAAAAGTAAGTCTCACATCCTCAGCAAACTCCAATGGTGACTTATACCAACTCTTACTCAACCTCGTCTTCACTGTTCCTAGATCCATAGGCTTCTCAACAATAGTGTGATAATCATGTAAACCAAGCCTAACTGCATCAACTGGAGTATTGAAAACCCATCCAGACTTATGCTTCATTAATTTCGTAAGCAAATTGTTGCAGCTCTTCAAAATCTGAACGGTACCTTTATCACCAGCTCCATGTACTCCACTCTTCTTACCACCGTTTGCTGTTTTCAGCTTCTTGTTCGGCACGGGAGCTTGTGGTTCGAGTCGCTTGATCAAGCTTCTAACTTCTTCAAGCTCAGCTTGTAGTTTCCGCTTCAAGTTCCTAACTTCAAGTTTCGAAATTGAGCTCAAACTTATCTTCATCATCTGATGATTATCTTCCGACCCAAGCGAATTCGACTTCGCCATCGTGGGCTTCGATCGTTTTTGGCTTTTGTTGCCACTATCACTCCATTTATGCTTCGTCTTCGAAACTCCACCACCGGCTATATGACCAGACGCCATTACCCTCGTTGACAATTTCTCTGAACGGAAAAATCTCAAGGGTTTTTACGAACAGCACCAGTAATTGGGGATTTCTCAAACAACGAATCGAAGATCGGTGAGATTAGGATCCGTGGTTCATGAACAGTGACTGTGATTGCAACGACGAAACCCTAGGAAGCAATTGTTGAGTCGCAGCGTCGCGAAAATAGCGTACACACACGCGCTTAATTAAGCTCACGCGCTTTATGAAACCCGATAAATTAGGGGAATTACACATGTGTTAAGTAACACGCCTACGTGTACAAAACAACATATCAAACCGGAACTAACCGGAAAAATAAACCAGATGTAGCAAACATATAAAATTAGCTACGCCATGTGCATTTCATGAGAACTGAACTCTGATCCGAAATTTAAGCAAAGAATCAACCTCAAGAGTTGAAATCAAAATCACAAGAATCAAATAAACCAAAACAATGGCCTTCAAGAATCATTCTTCAAGAACTATGTTTTCTTCATCTTCCACTTCATTTTCATTCAGGTTCACAACAATCATTACCTTAGCAATATTCATCTTTTGTTCTTCTTACTACATTTTATTCTCACGATTGGATTGCTCTCCGGTGACTTCTTCACCGGGAAATCCTCCCTTCGCTGGAGATCTTCGAGACCTAACATCCCCTTGGAACAAACTCTCTCTGGGACCAATCTCCGAGAAGCTCAAACTCGCCGTCTTCTGCAAGTCATGGCCTGTTGGTTCGATCCCCGGAGGAATGGAGCGTCACGCTTACACTCTCTACACTTCTCTCGCGTCAAGAGGTCACGAGATTCACGTCTTCACGGTTTCTTCCGACAGAAGTAACCGAGAAGAGTACTACAACAGAGGAGATCTCCATGTCTACTTCGCTCCAAACGAACACGGCACACTTAACCACTCTCAAGCTTTTGAGATCTTCCACAAAATCAACGGTCTAGATCATCCCTTCGATTATGTTCACACTGAGAGTGTTTCTCTGCCTCATTGGCGAGTCAAAATGGTGCCTAACGGTGACATAGCTGTGACATGGCACGGAATCTGGTACGAGATCATGCATTCCAATCTTTTCCAAGAACTTTCCAATGATCGTCCTATCTCAGATCTTCAACAAACGATGCCTAGACTCGTCGACGAAATCAGATTCTTCCCAAAATATAAACAGCATATTTGCATAAGCAACAGTGCGCGTGAGGTTCTAGTTAACATCTATCAGCTTCCTAAGAGAAATGTTCACGTTATAGTCAACGGTGTTGACCAAACCAAGTTCGTGTATTCCCCTGAATCGGGAGCTAGATTCAGGGTGAAACACGGTGTTCCTGACAATGGGACGTTTATTGTGATGGGTGTGTCTGGACGTTTGGTGAGAGACAAAGGACATCCACTTCTCTATGAAGCTTTTGCTTTGCTCGTTAAAATGCACCCGCAAGTCTATCTGCTTGTGGCTGGATCTGGTCCTTGGGGTAAAAGATACGCGGAATTAGGTGAAAACGTTAGGGTTTTAGGAGCTTTAAAACCAGAAGAGCTCTCTGGTTTCTACAACGCGTTAGATGTGTTTGTGAATCCTACATTGAGACCGCAAGGGCTTGATTTGACAATCATCGAGGCGATGCAGTGTGTGAAACCTGTAGTGGTACCTAATTATCCAAGCATTGTTGGGACAGTGGTTGTGGATGAGCGTTTTGGGTACACATTTTCTCCAAATGTGAGATCTCTTGTTGAGACGTTGGATTCTGTTGTAAGAGATGGATCTATTGTTTTGGAGATGAAAGGAATAGCTTGCAAGGTTTACGCTCTTTCAATGTTTACAGCGACTCGAATGGCTTCGGCTTATGAGAGATTCTTTATGTGTATGAAGAATGAAAGGTATTGTAAATACCCTCTTTCCACAGATAACTGATTTGATATAGTTTCATAAGTTACGTTGAATCATTCCTTTTGTAACAGGTTACTTGATATCTTGCAATACAATTTGGTCGCAATATTCATTCATACACATAAATAAGCTCAAACTTGGGACGACTTGTAAGTTTTTGTGAATTTGTAACGAAAGTAAAAGAAGAAAATTAAACTTTTGAAACATGGGTTTGGTCTCTAAAATAAAGATATAAAATTGAAGATTTGAAGACGTTGACTTCGATCTTCATTCCTTTTGTAACAAGTTACTTGATATCTTGCAATACAATTTGGTCGCAATATTCATTCATACACATAAATAAGCTCAAACTTGGGACGACTTGTAAGTTTTTGTGAATTTGTAACGAAAGTAAAAGAAGAAAATTAAACTTTTGAAACATGGGTTTGGTCTCTAAAATAAAGATATAAAATTGAAGATTTGAAGACGTTGACTTCGATCTTCATTCCTTTTGTAACAAGTTACTTGATATCTTGCAATACAATTTGGTCGCAATATTCATTCATACACATAAATAAGCTCAAACTTGGGACGACTTGTAAGTTTTTGTGAATTTGTAACGAAAGTAAAAGAAGAAAATTAAACTTTTGAAACATGGGTTTGGTCTCTAAAATAAAGATATAAAATTGAAGATTTGAAGACGTTGACTTCGATCTTCATTCCTTTTGTAACAAGTTACTTGATATCTTGCAATACAATTTGGTCGCAATATTCATTCATACACATAAATAAGCTCAAACTTGGGACGACTTGTAAGTTTTTGTGAATTTGTAACGAAAGTAAAAGAAGAAAATTAAACTTTTGACACATGGGTTTGGTCTCTAAAATAAAGATATAAAATTGAAGATTTGAAGACGTTGACTTCGATCTTAAAAAAGATGGTCTCTGTTTTCCTCTGTTTCTTTTTTGGTTTCTAACTTCAATCACTATCTTTCTCTTCTACGTTTTATTGGTGGACGATGAGGCAAAAGAGTCCATATATAATATATACTTTTCAAACATATTTTAAGTCGTATATCTCTCTCTCTCTACATGAGCCATAAGAGACTAAAAACTAGATAAATTAAATTAAGCCAATCTCCCTCATCATACTACTTCTTTACCCTTTCTTGGTATATATAGTAATTTATATGGAAAGTCCTCTATACTAGACTACTATATAGTGGAAATGTATAAGGTACGTAAAGCATGCAAAATTCATAAATGTGTAACGAAAAAGATACATCAATTTATTGGTTACACACTTACACCGAACGAACAAACAAGGCTAAAAAACAAAAAGGATCGATATGTTTTCTTCTAAACCGGTTCTCGATCAAGAACAAAAAATATACATCCTCGAATTCAAAACTACGAGAGTAGTACTTACTACTTAGTGATGGCGAGGATCAGGACCTCCAGGACTGAGTCTCATGGACTCATTAAAACCTCTTTCCATTAGCTTCTCCATACTCGCTTTCAACACTTCCTCGGCTTCTCTCATCATACGCCCTCGTTTAGTACCGTCTGCGTTTGGGGACAGCGGTCGAGACGCTGATGAACGCGATAAGGAAACGCAGATCAAGAACAAGCACAGCAAAAATTTCAAGTTAGCCATGCATGCGTTATTGCGTTATGTGATAATGATTTCAATTTAGAAAGGTGCTACTTTTAGAAAAATGGTATTAGATGGCTTGTGTATTTTTAGAAAAATGGTATTAGATGGTTTGTGTATTTTTCAGCACATGGTAGAGACAATTTATATAGAGATATGGCATTGGGATCATGATGAATCACACATTGAAATGATAACTTATTATTGGCTATACATTATAAAAATAGATAAGGCAACAGAAAAAAAAAATAAGGCGGTCGTGGAAGGAGATTTATAATTGACGAGTTTTAAACTTCTCCTAGTGCTCATTCGAGATCAGCATATATTCCTTTTGTCAACGTTTAGTGATATAAAACATATCAAAGTAAGCTACCAATATTTATATGCATGTGTGATAAGCAAAAACTATACAAAGTATGTATACTTTTTGAATAATGCGAATGATTTCATTGTTAGATGTAAATGTATTCATAGTATATACCCACAAAGGAAAATTTCAAGAAAAAAGTGAAGTGTTGAAGATGCATGTGTTATTAGGAGAAGAAAAGACTATAATTAATTAGAGTGCATTTGAATGGTAAACCAAATAAACTACCTCATAATATAAAAAAAATAAAATATGGGGGACAAATGTGAATGGGCTCAATATTAAAATATTGACGTAGTTAGAAGTCAATAATAAGACCAACGTGGCAGACTTTTGCCGCCTTTTTTTGGGTTGGCCTTTAGCTTAGTTGACCATTTGAGTTAACTAACGTAACTCCGAGGCAAAGGATCTGAGTAATTGTCTTTTGATTGAATTTTGATTCTATCGACTGAAAATAATCGATGTTATAAAAAATAACAAGTAAATATTGTCACTAACAAGGAAAACCAACCATGAATCTCTCTATACTCTGTGAATATATTAAATATAGAAAATTTTCTTACAAACTAGGAGAATATTCATGAGTTGATCAGGTCCAATCACTAAATTTCTCATATTTTTTTCTTTAAAATTAAATATGGAGAGTAGGACAAAGTATAATCACTCTATTTTATTTAGGTTAATAACAAGTTGAAGACTCTTTATGATATAAATTTTGTATTAACGGAAACTATTTTGGATTTTGTGGATACAAATGTGGCGCTTTAGTTTTATAGACTAATTAAGTGAAACTCAAAACACCAACTCGAAGCTCGTAGAAAAAGTGAACAAAACACTAACTCCAACCCAACTATATTAAAGAGCCAAGAAAAAACAAAAACTAGTGAAGAGATCAGAATAGACAGATATACCTAATTTTTTAGGTTACCAAAAGATTCTTACAAAATATGTCAGATTGGATTTACAAGAATCTCTGATACTCTATATTGTTTTGATGATTGAGTAATGAAACAACTCACGGAGTTTACCAAATTACAAAATAGGTATGGAAAATGTGATGAAAAGATGAATTGATCGTTGTCTAATATAAAATATAAAGCGTTTTAGCTAAAAACACGCTGATTAAAAAAATCTATTTTTTAAAAGTTCAGCCAATCATAAAAGAGATTGCATAATAAAAATAATTATAAAACATTAAAATAATATATAATTTGCATAGAAACTTGAAAACGATTTATATTGGAAAACAAAAAAGTTTTTCCAAAACGCCTTATATTTTAAATTGGAGAGAGTATAATGGAATTTCTTTTGTCAATATATATATATATATTTTTTTTTGATAAACCCTATCGGCTGATCCGGTCAGCCCCGGTAGAAACGCACCGAATTGCTTCAGAGTGGACTTCTCCCCGAAGGACCACCACACTGTCTGTCCCGAGTTTGGAATGCTTTCCGACTAATGCCAGGGGGTAGCCAGATCGTCTGTTACTGGACTACCAGGTAAACTGCTTGGGCTTTTACCTGGATCGAACCTGGGTTAGTTCCTTCAAACCTTTCCCCAATTCTCAACAACCATTGGACCACAACTGTGTGGGCAAAAACTGGGGATTAGGGTTAACTTTTTATAGTGACAGACCCCACCGCAAAACGGCCTCATATCCAGAAAAAATTCCATCTCCGGCCTGGACCTACGGGTTAGTATACACCGCTTGCCCCTACTCGTATGAAGGAATTTTTATTTGGAGAGGCTCAGTACCACCGTGGTGACATAGTGACTTGAACTCAAGAACTCTAACACTCATCTATGAGAAAGAATACCACTAGACCATGGACCCCTCCTCTTCTTTTGTCAATATATTTTTTTTTTTGCTAAAAAGGTAAATATTTTATTGAAAATGAAAACGATATAGGTTTACAACCAAAAAATTATAGATCTAAAGTAATGGTCCCATGGCAAAAAAAAAGCTAAAAACATGGAAGCATAATTCAAACACAAGAACTCAGTCCATCAACTCAACATCAACACTAGGTTAATGGAGTTAGACGAAGTGAAAAACGATTTTGGACGCTCTTCTCGGTTGCTTTGTTGAAGACAAAAGGGCGAAAACAAAGGGCGAAAGCACTTCGTAAAAGCTGAAAATTGCGAATATCATTTGATGCTAAGACAATAACCCGTAAATCAATAATCTAAACATTCTGTTTTTAAAAATTAAAACACGTCTTTACTCTCTCTACCTACACCGTTACATGGCCGAAAGCAATATACAAAACTTGATGGACCTAAAATGTCATCGTTGAACACATGCATATTACGGAGTTCACATCTATATTACAAATTATGGTGGTAAACAAATAAACTTTGTTGTCTGTTTTTTTGTTTTTTTTGGTAAAAGCGCTGTTGTCTATTTATTTAACCTTTTAACGTATTTTCTGTCACTAATACAAATTTAATTACTTTTTTTTTCTAGCTATAATCCCCGTTGACAAAAATGAATATGATCATTATATATATATGCTCTAAATAGCCACCGGCATTGTCTATAATTGTGTTCGTCAATAGAATAAGCATATCCATTTCTTTATGGCTCGTTCGTGGACCAGAAAATCATTTTTCTTTATAGGGTTGTGGAACATTTTAACTATACCTCATTTGATTAATTGGGATAAAATTTGAAACACTTTGCCAGTTGGACCAATATCTCTCATGAAACACCATGATATTAAGAATTTTTACCAACTTTTTACTTCTATCAATAACATTTTTTTGATATGATTTCTATCAAAATATGTTCTATATATTTACCAAAATACACACCTTATGCAAGAGTTATGGTCATAAACTCATAACAAACACGTGTATATACAAAACAAATGTTTAGAGTCAAACAAATTACGAAAAAATGGTTTGATAGATACTAAACTAGTAAAATAACAAAAATGAAATCCAAAAAGAGGTTGAATAAAAGCTCACTGGTAAAAGTCCTAAAGTGTATAGTCGGTCCTTTCAGATGAGTGAAGGTTGTTGTTAAGGAATAGCTAACTACCTCCCACAGTGGTCCTCACTCCTCTGGACGGCACTTTCTTATTTTATCCAAACTTTTTTTTCTTCCCTCCAACTCGAAAATATAAATTAAATAGTACAATTCTATTCTTGTCTAGTGTTATATGCTTATCTCTATATCAATTATCTTTTGAATTAAATAACAATCATAGGATTAAAATGGATCATGATCACTGAAAAGTTGATGAGGATAACATAAACAAATTTCTAATGACGGTTACGATATGCATAGAGTCACTCAGTGACTCGGGCCACAACTTTATTTATTACCCCATCCTTTTTTTTAAGGAATTGTAAGGAAAACAAATCAATCAAGGTGTTGATTTGCTGTAAAAAAAAGTCAACTATTTTTTAAGAATATATCTTTCTAAATTTAAAATATCACTTTGTTTAATGAATAATTGATTTATGCTATATTGCTATGCACATAAGTGAGTTTTCAAGAACTTTAAAGAACAAATTAGTTGGAAGTCAAATTGCGATCAGTGATAACTCGTTCTGTTGGTCGAAGCCAAACTGTATCAGTATGCGTTTTTAGTGCAAAAAATTAGGCATTCTACAAAATTTCGAGATTAGTTTGAGTTTCAATTCATAAACTACCCAATTATCAATTTTTTTTTTTAAATATATTTTTCTTATTCACAAAGTGTATCTATAACAATGTATGAACAAAAAAAAAACAGTGTATGAACAACTAAAACTAGTCAGGCAATAGAGGTAACCTATCGATGCAAGAGGGTGAGTCATTAGACTCGCCGGTGGCACAACCGAACTCGTCAAGCTCTTCCCCGTTCTCTTCTTCAAACTCTCCTTCATCTTCACCATCGTCTCTGTCTTCTTCCGTCCCATAAGGGAGGATCCTTAGATACATCTCATCCCCTCTCCATTTTCTTTCTGATCGTAAATTGTACTTCCTGACTAGCTTTCCTTGAAGAGATACAATCCTAGGTGGCCTCGGGAGTAAATCGGCTGTTTCTTTTTTCGGTACCACTACCCGCTCTATCGCTAATCTCGCTTCCTGCATATAAACGAATAGGTGTAAAGCAATAGTGAACTGTGGTTACTATCAAAGAAATTTTGCCTAGCTCTTTAGTTACCTCTAAGGCGTCCATTTTTTCAGATAGTTTTAGACGATCTTCTGATCCAAACTCTCCGAGTCTGTCTTCGTAATCGGTTAGCAATGCCCGTATCGCCTTGGCCACTTGAATACCTGAGTTAGTCTACAGAAAAAGAGCCTCTTTTGGTATTGGAAGCTGGAACAAGAAAACTTGAAACAAGACATTCTCAGATTTTATTTTTACCTTTGTTACATAAACAGGTATACCGTGAGATGTAGCTAATGATTTAATCCGGGGATTCTTCCTGATCTTCGCTTGCAATGCAAGTAAGGCTTCTGCTTCGCTAATGTCGTCAGTTAACTCTACCGCAGTTTCCATCTCCAGTTGTTTTATTGCTTGAAGAACAGTTGATTCTGCAATCTGGGTGGGAGAAATTGACGAATCTGCGTATTAGTATTTGGATATTAACAGAGATAGCATAAGACTATTAGAAACTGGAGAATCTGCTTAAGTCATTCTCATCTTACCCCATAGATATATAGATACATCAATGTCTCTTGCTCTGAAGATTCTGCTTCAGTTATCTCCTTAGTTGGAATAACTTCAGAGATAATTTCCTCCTTGGCGAGCTTCGAAACATCTAATGTTTCTTCTTCATGTTTCTTATCCACAGTCGTCTCGTCGATGAAAGGTTCCTTTTCCACAATCACTTCCACTCCATGAGACTTTATTTTGCGGATTTCAACGTTTGGTAAGCGACCTTTTAGCCAGGAGATGAGCCAAAAGAAGAAAGTTAACTGAAGCCAGAATCTTAAATTCTTAATATGTTGTTGTATCAAAATATATGCTGCATTTATGTCTATGTCCTCTGCATTTATCAACAGTTCCAACTTAAAAAGACAGAATCTACCTGCGAGAACAGCATCAACAGTTGCTTCAAGACTACGATGAACTCGAACTTCAGTCTTTGAAACTATTTCTGCACCACAGTTAAATGTTGGAGGACCTTTTCTTTCAAGGACAGTCTTCTGGCCACCTCTTCTGGTCGCTTCCTCATCTCCAAGAGTCACACTCTGCCAAAGGTCTCTCCATTATGACTAGTTTTCAGAAAAAGAACTGATCCAGAATTATAGATCATTGAGCGCCTACAATATGATAATACTCAATTCAAATCTGCTACACAGTTCCTGTGCCCTGTCTCTTGGTTTGCTGACATATCGAGGCGCAAGAGATCCATGGGAAATGGCCAACATCATCCCCTTAACTAATTTCTTGAGAAGTACAATGCCATATTGGCAATATTTATGCTAGAATGAGCATTGGTAAAAGATACTCATATATTGTCAAACTAAATCTCCAATAAATATATGGAATCGGGTTTGGACGGTATGCAAACATATCATGTCTAACCTGTACACCTCCAACCAGAAGGTCTAATGAAGGATTCTTAATCAAATTCTCGATAGTGGCTCCATGAGCAGTGGCGACTAACTGAATTCCACGTTCTGCTATTGTACTTGCAGCTATCGCTTCAAGTTTAGTTCCAATCTCATCAATGACAATCACTTGGGGCATATGGTTTTCTACTGCCTCTATCAGCACCTGAAGGTAAAGTAAAATCGAAACACATATAAACCATCTCTCCTGAGTAAGGTCAAACCCACCTCATTAAAAGAAACTAAGCTCAAGCTAAGCTACTAAACCGACCTTGTGTTGTATGTCAGAGTTAGGGACTTGCATCCGCCTAGCATTACCGATCCCTGGATGAGGTATATCACCATCACCACCAATCTCATTGGAAGTATCAACAATCATTACTCTCTTCTCATAGTCATTTCCTAGCATTCGTGCTACCTCCCTTAATTAGCAAAATGATGACTACATATCAAATCCATGATCTAAAGGAACTATGAGCAAGCTGATCGATATAGGAAGAAACTAACACAAACCTAATCATTGTAGTTTTCCCCACACCTGGAGGACCAATAAGCAACAATGAGTTCCCATCTTGAACAAGATCACGCAGCAAATTAGCGCTTCCTCTAACAGATCGACCAACACGGCAAGTTAATCCAATAATTTCTCCTTTCCGATTCCTTATCGCACTAATCCGATGCAACGTCCGGCTGATTCCAGCTCGATTATCATTAGTAAACTCACCAACCTGAGCATTTGTCACTTTCATGGTGTCTTATTAAGCAGCTACTATAGATGTTTCGTCAAACGAAAATTTCAACAGAGAAGAACACTCACCAACCTGAGAAACAGCGAATTCCAGATCTTTAACGCTAACAGCTTCGTCGGAGATAACAGAATCACCAGAAGGGAATCGCGCCAGAGGTTTACGACCTAAATCCAACACTATCTCTATGAGTTCACTAATTTCAGGGTGCTTCTCTAGTGTCCGACGTATCTCCTCCGGTACCAGTGCCAACAGACGGCGTAATTCGTCATCGAAGTGGTCCTCGTCTTCTAATTCCGGAACTGGAGACGAAGATGCCGAAATAGCAACAACTCCAGGTGAAGAAGACGAAACGAGAAGGAATTTAGTGTGGAAGAGGTGGTGAAAGAGAAGAGACGATCGACATCGGAGCTTGAGGAAGCTCAAGCTTCGTTCATGACGCAAGAGCGTTAATGGAGGAACATGATTACTCAGTGATAAGCTCAGCATATTCCTCCTCACCTGAATTGTTTTTTTTTTTGTTCGAGATTTATATATGAACCCATTCGCCAACCTCGTGGACAAATCAGAACGAGACACGTCAGCGAACAATTCTGACGTCATGCTTAACAAGCAAATTTATCCCACCAACATAATAAATAGTAGCAAGCAAGCAAGCATAGAAAAGTTTTGTTTTTGATTTTGATCATACACAACGAGAAACAAGACTTTTAAGAAGCTTCATCCATTGTACTTAGAGGCTATTACTGTGTATCCAGTGCAAGATCGCGCCAAGTTTCTGCATCTGCTTGCTGATTTTCTTGATCTGAAACAATCACAATGTGAGGGATTATATTAGTCGAGCAAGCTATATGGATTATCATACTTATCTTGGAAGAGAAAGTCCTAAAAGCTCAAAAACTCCTTGAAAAAAGCTCACAATTTAGTTTTGTGGCTTCCTTGTGACATTTTGAGATCTCAACATGGGTGTTTAATATCTTGGATCACATATGAATCACAAGTGTGAATTCAAAGCTAGCAGTTTTAAGAGACAGACAACTATGTTCGAAAGACTTTAGAGCTATGGAAGCAAATAGCTATGTAAAGGAAAACAAAACAAAAAGACATACTGGTTTCTTCAGTATCATCAGTCCTAACAACAAGCACTGGAGGCAATGGAAGATCTGCAACAACAACACAACAATAATTTCTTATGAAATGAACAAAAGGAAACACAATGATCTTGAGGTATAATGTGGGAAGAAGAAAAAAAATGGTTATACCATCATCAGGCAAAGTGTCCCTCATCCACTCCTCGTCCACAATGTCTATAAGCATACCAAGACTTACTTCCGCCATATTCGAAAAACTGGAGCTTGAAATCCCTCAAATTACTAATGTAATCATCCAATAAGTAAACAGATATACAAATATCAGAAAAATAGTGAAGAAATTTGGATTGTTAAAGTACAAAGTCAATTCCCTTGTCGTTGTACAATAGCAAAACAATAGAACAGAATTGGGACTTTTGATATCCACAAGTTTGAATTTTGGGAAAGTGACAGTATCTGACAGACAGAATATGGCTCAATAACCTATATATGAATATCTGAAACAATCTACAGACTAGGTTTTCACTGAGGAATTACGACGAGCAGTTGGTGAACAATCTAGTAAAGAGACCAAATATGAAATCTTAACACAACTCAAAAGCCAATTCTTAATAAACAGATAAGATTCTCTAAGGAAAAAACCTAACTTGAATCGAATTAGTAAGAGATTCACCTGGTAGAGACGATGCAGCCGTACTCACAACTTCTAGCTTATAAAAAAGTCAGCTTTTTTTTTTTTTTGGTCATAAATGATAAATATTAAAATTACAGTAACCTTCTAGTTTACCTAGAGGTATTCAAAAGGCTGATGTTTTAGGGTATCTTTAATCCAGCTTAAGCCGGCCACCACAGCGACCGCCGATTACCGGATCGTCTCTGTTATTGCGTGCTTCTTTCAGGTAAAGTTGATTACTTCAATGTCTTCCGCAATGCTTTTCTTTGATCTAGTAAAGTAATTTTGTGATTTTCGTTTCCTACGTCGCGATTCCTGTGTAAACTAGTAATTGGTGGTGAAGAGGGTTTCTGTAGAAATTTGAGAGCTTTATGTTGACTTCAATTTGTGAATTGGGATAATCTTCTTAATTTTGTACTACTAATAAATTAGGTGTCTCAAGTAAGCAATGAGTTCTTCACCGTCGTTGGAGATTTTAGGTACATATCTTCTGAAACTCAATTTTATTCTTGGGTTATGTTTAGTCTCTCTTTTCTCTAAAGTCACTTTTCTTCTAGTTAGAGAAGCTGAAGGTTTCACTGTGTGGAGTGGTCCTCCATTCACTAATGGCCAGCCCACTCTCAAGCTTGAACGAGTTTCCTGTTCCAACACTAAGTTCAGTGTTGATGGATCCAAGTTAATGGCGATGAAGTCAGATGGAATTATTAGTATCTATGATGCCACCAGCTTGACTGTAGTGCGGTCGTTCCCTATAGCAAATGTTACGGCTGCTGAGCTATCTCCATGTGGGACTTATCTTCAGACTTTTCAAAAACCCACTACTCCACAGGAGAAAAACGTCTCCATTTGGAATATTGAGACTGGGGATCTAGCACATAGTCATTACCAGAAATCCATTACTAAAGCCTCGTGGTAAGTAGTTCTCAGTGCTTAATTGCCAGTATATATGATGCATGAATATAATGGCGTGGTTGCTCTATAGGCCATCAATTCGCTTCTGTCTTGATGAATCTTCTGCATGCCGGTTAGCTACAAATGAGATCCAATTCTTTGACCCGAAAGATTTCTCAAAAGGAATAACATCCCGGATCAGAGTTCCTGGGGTTGCTGCATTTGAGCTTTCTAAAACGCCAGCTTCCCATGTTGCTGTGTTTGTTCCAGAATCAAAGGTGCTTTTCATTGCTTGGGCTATCGCATTCTACTTTCAAATAGCCAAAAAACATCTTTTCTTCTATATGCTAAATCTGTTACTGTCTTCTCATTCAAAAAGTTGTCTATTTTTCATCCTGAAGTTGCAGACTCATCATGTGCATAATTGTTTCCTCTATAGACAAGCAACTCTGATATGTCAATTCATTCATATATAGGGGAGTCCAGGCAGTGTCCAGATATTTGGATGTGGGGAAGAATTGCAGAGTCAGCCAAGTGCTCGACGTAGCTTTTTCCGATGTTCTTCTGTGCAGTTTAGCTGGAACCATGGTTCCACTGGACTCCTAGTGGTTGTACAATCAGATGTTGACAAGACCAACCAAAGTTACTATGGGGAAACGAAGCTACACTACCTTACAATAGACGGCACACATGAGGGCCTTGTTCCATTAGGTAAGTCCTAAGTTCTAACATTTATGTATCTGATGTTGTGATTGTTGATTGTACTGACTCTTTGGTACTTTAACAGGTAAAGAAGGACCAGTTCATGATGTTCAGTGGTCCTTTTCAGGCTCAGAGTTTGCAGTTGTATATGGCTGTATCCTTTTTCTATCAGCTATAACGACTACGAGTTCATTTAGGAATAATGTTTATCAGTTGACATGTTAATATCTTTGTGTTCTTGTTAAGATGTTATTTTGCTTTGCATCTATGTACTCCTTCCTTCTGGCATTGCTTTCTTCGTACGTTGTTTTTCCTCAACTCTGACTTCAGTTATGCCTGCTTGTGTGACAATCTTTGACAAGAATTGCAAACCCTTGATGGAAATTGGCGAAGGTCCTTATAACACTCTTCGATGGAACCCAAAAGGGAGAGGTATGTTTCTCTTCTTCATCCCTGTTTTCTGTTATCTTCTCGTTTTTGTTTCTTTTTAAACAGAGGATATGTATACATACCTGTTTTTGTAACTTTAAATCAATGTTCCACAGTTTTATGTGTGGCTGGATTTGGTAACTTGCCTGGTGATATGGTAAATAACGTTCCCTTGTGTTGTTCATATTTTTCAATTTTCGGGTGACAATAAGTCAGCAATTTACATTTTATTTTCAAAACGATCCTTTCTAAATTGTTATATTTCAGGCCTTCTGGGATGTTGTCAACAAGAAGCAGCTAGGAAGTAATAAAGCCGAGTGGTCTGTGACAAGTGAATGGTCTCCAGATGGGCGTTATTTCTTGACTGCCTCAACTGCACCAAGACGTCAAATTGACAATGGGTATGTTAAATACTTATTGGCACATAATTGAGTTTGGTTTCTTATTCAAACAGATCGAGTGATACAATGAATGCTGTGCCTCTTGCATCAACTGTTTGTTTTCATACCCGCCTATTTTAGTACATATCTTTTGACTTATGAACTATCCAGTTTTAAGATGTCAAAGTTGTGTTTTATATTCTTCGTCTTTGTCCTGACTGAAGGATGAAAATCTTCAACTACGACGGAAAGCGTTACTTTAAGAAGATGTTTGAGAGGCTGTATCAGGTGTGTGTCTCTTAAACAGCTTTGAAAAGCATACATTAATTATTAATTGTCTTACTGGAGTGCCATGATTTTTTCCTGCAGGCTGAGTGGAAACCAGAGTCTCCAGACAGGTTCGGTGATATCAGTGAACTTATCAAGTCAGTTGAATCATTGAAACTCGGCGAGGGCAAATCGCAAGGTCGGAAATTCTTGGTTTAAATACTTGAAACTGTCTCTGATTATGAGAAATCTCTGTAAACTTATCATGTTATTTAAACGATTTCTACTTATCTACCTTAGGACAAGGATCAGCTCAGAAGAAAGCTATTGCTCCCAACCCTATTGCACAAAAACCGGCTGCATATCGACCTCCGCATGCTAAGCATGCAGCTGCTGTTCAAGCCGAGGTAACTCGAGAACTTTTCTATAATCTCCAGTGATATCAAATTACTAATTATTAACCCACACAGTCATGATTCTGAATTTCTGATTCATACTTGAGCTCTTAAATATGCTTGTCCATACCATAACCATATCGCCAATGGGAGGTTTTGGGTTTAAATATTCACTGTTACTACTGTTTTCGATACATTTGGCATCACATATCAATATGTCCCTGATAGTTTTCATTATTTGAAATTGCAGTTGCTTGGAGTAAGCACAGCAGGGTAAGTCTCTATCTTGCAGTACATACATAAATCTCAAAAACTGTCGCTCATATGTTGATGGATGCTCCTCTGGTGTTAATACAGAGAGATGAGCAAGAACGCTCTTAAAAACAAGAAGAAGAGGGAGAAGAAGAAAGCAGCCGAGGCTGCTGCTGCTTCTGGAGCTAACGCCTGATTGAAGAAGTCACCACTCCTATATCAAATTCAATGGCGATCACAGTTTTGAGATTCCTTTGATGGTAATAAAGATTCTATAGAAGAGGCAGAAAGCATTATGTAAACAGTTGCTTTTCTTTTTGTCAAACATTTTTGTTGTCAGTTGTTAACCGCCAAAATCAGAAGAAAGGAGCCGAAATTTTAGCAGGTTAAAAGTGAAAACTCGAAAGAAAAAAAAAAGGGTCTCTACTTCATTCACAATGATTTTGTGTTATGCTTAAACTTAATACAAATTTATTGACTCAGCATAATATGTTGCACGTATAGCAAACGATCAAATCATAAAGAACAATGTTACTCCAATTAATCTGCCGTGAAACCGTAAAATTTCACTGTTTATACAACTCTAGATTCTAGAAGACTCATGCTTGTTTATCTACTTGGCACACATGCATGCATAGTCAACATAACACATACACATACATAAACACGTACACGACCAGGGCCGGCCTATGGGTAAAGCCCATGAAGCAAGGGCTTTAGACATCAAATAATTATAAGTAGTTTTAGAAGCATCAATTTTTAAAATGTTACTATGGTCTAGTGGTTAGATTGAAGTCTTTTGTTGTACAGGTCACGGTTTCGAATCTCATACACGTTAAAACTTGTATTGTATTATATATCCCGAACCTAAAGGTTCGTCCAAAAAATACTCACCAAGAGAAGATAAGAAAGCAGCACGAACACCAACTCTAAGAAAAACAATGAAGTTATGGTTAAGTAATTGCATGCAATTTAAAGCTACGTGTCCTGCTTAAGACACTCAAGTCTCACATCTGTCCCTTTTTACTTCGACTTCGCTTCTTTTGGCTTCTTTTAAACTCTCTCTTCCCACTTCTATCTTTCTTCATACTTTCTTGTTTGATCATATGGCAACATCAGCTCGTAGAGCATACGGTTTCGGTAGAGCCGATGAGGCTACACACCCTGACTCCATTAGAGCAACTTTAGCTGAGTTCCTCTCCACTTTTGTCTTCGTCTTTGCAGCTGAAGGCTCTATTCTCTCCCTCGGTTCGTACATGCACCGTTCTGACTCTGTACTTGAGTCTTTGCATATGTGATATGACTTCTCAGAGCTGTCTTTTTTTTTCTCCTCCTCAGATAAGTTGTATTGGGACCATGCGGCTCATGCGGGGACAAACACACCAGGAGGACTGATTTTAGTGGCCTTGGCTCATGCGTTTGCTCTGTTTGCTGCTGTTTCAGCAGCCATCAATGTCTCGGGTGGACACGTAAACCCGGCAGTCACTTTTGGTGCTCTTATTGGAGGCAGACTCTCAGCGATCCGTGCCATCTACTATTGGGTCGCTCAGCTTCTTGGAGCCATCCTCGCTTGTCTCTTGTTAAGACTCGCAACAAACGGCATGGTAACACTAATTAACTTCATATATATGTGGGCTTGTATTTTGTGTTGCAATGTTTTTTGTTATCTTATATGATTATATCTCAAGTAAGATGGAGCCTACAGTATTATTGTATTAATTAATACAGGGTTATGATCTAACTCACTCGCAGTAGAATGACTTAA